GTAAGATAAACAATGTATATATATATAGTGAGATGTACAATGTATATATGTAGTGAGATGTACAATGTACATATGTAGTGAGATGTACATTGAATATCTATCGTGCGATGTACAATGTATATCCTTAGTATACATACTCATATATTGTCCATATCTTATAGGTTACTAATGTGGACATTTCTTTACTAGCATGTAACCCGGGTCCAAGGAGAGCATATAATGTTTACCTGGCTACTTTAGTTGGTATTCAGTGTTTAATCTGTTTTTACTTCTTCTTATCAATCCTAGGTGTTATGTTTCACACTTTTAAATTATATTATAGTTTCCAAAGAATGAGGTTAAATTGCTTTGACATTTAATGGTTGGTAACAAATTTGATTGATTCGGATTTATAGTTACTACATATGTCTTTGTACAGTTGACAATAATATCCAATTATGCTTGTGTTCATGTCTGTTTTCTGCCAATACGGCTATATCATCAGATCACATAAGGACCATTATATTGATGTTGATGTTTCCTATTCTGGATGTAATGTCAGATCTTTCAACTGCTTGACGTATATTGTTAGTATACCTGTTGTAAAGAACGGTTGACAATCTTGTTCCCTGTCTGTCTTACGAATTGAGTTACGTTCACTTCATCTGAAAGACTGTTATTACAATAAACTGTATAGGCATATGTCTGTATAAATTATATTACGTTTAACTATTTTCTTTATTTGTTGTTGTTGTTTTTTTTTCATTGTTCCTGAATCTTCGGTCATAACAATTGGGATGGGTCAGAAACTTTTAAAGGTTCAATGTCTAATTTAGTTAATTTTTCTCCACTCACTTGTGTGGAAAATAGTCTATCTGTGATTTAGATATTTTATTATGGTTATAAGAGGTTGGATTTAATTGGATATTTATTTGTTAATTCTAATTCATTGTTTGTTATGAATGCTTTAAAACACACGTCTCTTTTTCAATTATCTCTATGTAGTGACGTATTTCGTTCTTCCAGCTGAGCTAACATATCTTTATACATGTCAGCACGGTTCTACTTTCCTGAAAGTATGTTAACTAAAGGCAACAGTAGTATACCGCTGTTTGAAACTCATAAATCGACAGAGATAAAAACAAATCCGGGTTACAACCTAAACTGAGGGAAACGCCTCAAATATAAGAGAACAACGACACAACAAAAACACAACATTAAAATGTAACACACACAGAAACGAACTATAATATAACAATGGCCATTTTCCTGACTTGGTACAGGACATTTTAAGAAAAAAATGGTGGGTTGAACCTGGTTTTGTGGCATGCCAAACCTCCCGCTTTTATGGCAATGTTAAATATAACATTACAATGACAACATTACATGACATGACTACAATACAAATAAATGGGAGAATATATAGGACAAAGAAACACACGAATAATAGCCAACAAAAGGTACTAGGTTTAGAATTTAATACGCCAGACGTGCGTCTCGTCCACACAAGACTAACCAGTGACGCTCAGATGAAAAAAAGTTTGAAAGCCAAAACAAGTACAAAGCTGAAGAGCACCGAGGACCAAAACTTCAAAAAAAGTTTCGCCTAACACGGCCAGGGTTTTCTGCCTGGGACAAGAACATCCTTATTATTTAGAATGATATATACTTTTTCAAACAGTAAATTTTATAAAATGACAATATAATAGATATACATGATAAAACCGAAGTGGGGACTAACTACAGAATAAAACATTTATCACATATATAGGGTGTTCAGTGTTAAAACAATTATCATTTCATTTCCATCAGCCATATATTCCACTGCATAATCAATGTCCTTTTTCCAGAACGTAACCGCCTCCGAATCCTCAGCCACAAATAGTGAAGTGTCAATTTTGTCGTCAACTGATGTTGCCTCTATCTCATGAATGTTACTGACAGTCCTTACATTATTTTTCTCAGATGAATATAACCAATATTCTTGTAAACTTAATATTTCGCATCTCTTTGGCCCTTGTTTTAAATATAAGTCAGTACCTGACCCATAGAGCATTTAGCCCTTGTTTTAAATATAAGTTATTCACTTGACCCATAGAGCCTTTGGCACTTGTTTAAAATATAAGTCATTCACTTGACCCATAGAGCCTTTGGCACTTGTTTTAAATATAAAATATTAAGTTGACCCATAGAGCTTTTGGCACTTTTTTAAATATAAGTCATTCACTTGACCCATAGAGCCTTTGGCACTTGTTTTAAATATAAGTTTATTACTTGACCCATAGAGCCTTTGGCACTTGTTTTAAATATAAGCCATTGACTCGACCCATATAGCCTTTGGCACTTGTCTTGAATATAAGTCATTTACTTGACCCATAGAGCCTTTGGCACTTATTTTAAATATAGTCATTCACTTGACCCATAGAGCCTTTGGTACTTGTTTTAAATATAAGTCATTCACTTGACCCATAGAGCCTTTGGTACTTGTTTTAAATATAAGTCATTCACTTGACCCATAGAGCCAGGTGAGCTGGAAAAAAAATATTTTGATGGAAACCATTAGTGAATTCTTACAAGAGTTATTGTCCTTGGATGACACATTTATAGCGTTTTTGCTACTAGTAACTAGTATCTTGTTTGAAAACGTTGATAATACAGAATAATATTCATCGAAACTGTTAACAGCAAAAATGATCAGCAAGACAAACAAGAACTTCGAAAAAGCCATTTGATAAAATTTTCAACCAACTCCCAAGTAAATGAGTATTGGTCCTTTTTTGAACATTCTAGTATTTCTGCTTACAACCTTAAAAATGTGTACTCGCTTCAAATGTCTTGCTGTTTCATAGATCGTGGTTGCTGTTAACGTTGAAAGTCTCTCAAATAAAGGTTTTCCTACAAGTATAACATAAACGATTCATGAAAATCAAGTCATGGTTAGATGAACCCTCCTAGACACACATGCAGACCTTACTCATTCCATACACCACATATAGTAGACATCTTGCTTGGAGTATCTGGGAAACGGACAAAGCCACAATAACTTAACGGTAGGCCAATGAACCATGGAAATGATCAATGTCAGATAAACCCTACCAGATGGACATGTTCACCTGAAAATCATTACGCCAAATAAAGTTGACCTATTGTCTACAATATCTGAGAAACTGACCAGACCAGGAAACTCATGAAACAGGGATCAAGATAAGATGAATCCTGCCAGACAGACATTTACACCTTACCATCATTCAATACTTGACACATAATTGAAATGGACATATAAACGACCAAAACTTTACATTGACCAATGTCCTATGAAACTGAGGTCAAGATCATATGAACTGTACAATACAGCCATGAACACCTCAAAATTATTCCATTAATTAAATATAGTTGCCAGGTTGTTTTTAGTCTGTGTAAAGGACCTAATCACAAAAAACTTACCATTGTACAACGAACCGTGAAAATTAGTCTGAAGGACATGTACACCTTACATTCATACCTAACATTAAATGTAGTTGACCTTTGGCTAAAAGTATTTGAGAAATGGACCTTAACTAGAAAACATAACAGTGACCCAGTATCTGAGAAACTGACTGAACAACACAAACTTAAGTTGATCACTGACCAATAAAATAAGGTAAAGGTCAGGTGAACCTGTCTGATTGAAATGTAGACCTCTCAATAATTCTATATATCAAATAAAGTTGTCCTTTAACTCGCAATAAGTAAAAAAATCCTGATATAAAACTAGGTTTTTTAAGCAATTATTAAACCATTAAATGATGTCAAGAGACAAGAGAAATATGCCAGACAGGAACTTCAGAAATTAAGGCATCTGTATACAATATATGTGTTATCCAGGTTTTTACCTTCTAAACTATAAAGCTTTATACAACAAGCATTCTGAGAGTATTGCATGGCAATACATAGTCCCCTAACGGTTAAGAATTCATTGTACTGAAACAAAATGCTAACTTGATCTATAACTTGTCATGGCGTAAACTTTATAACAAATATCAAGTCAATATTCTTCAAGCATGATGAAAAAATCGGGAAAACTGAGTATTTGAGTGAATTTTCTAAGTCCAAGGACCATAACTCTGCACAAAGTCATCAGACCGGAACAAAATTCGAACTTGATATGTAACTTGTTATGATAAAACTATATACCAATTATTAAAATCAATATCTTCAAGCATGACAAAAAAAAGTGTGGAAAACTGATTATTTGAGTGAATTTTCTAAGTCCAAGGTCCATAACTCTGCATAAAATCATCAGACCAGAACATAGTTCAAACTTGATCTGTAACTTGTCAAGATGAAACTATATACCAAATTTCAAATCAATATATTTAAGCAAGAAGAAAAAAAGTGTGGACAACTGATTTGCTGGACTGACAGACAGACAGACAGACAGACAGACGGACGGAGTGCAAACCTACAGTCCCTTTCGACTTCATCGGTAGGGGACTAAATAGTTAATAACACAACTGGATAAGAATCTTTATGCCTCCCGTTCTTTGACAATAGATGGACAGCAACTGTAAACATTGGATCCAGGTTAAAAGATTAAGTAAATACTAATTTTGAGGTTTAAGGTAAATACCAACAAGAAAATTTTTTCCAAATAAACATTTATATTGTAATATTGTAGTTAAATACTTTTAGCTGTAGTTATTATCATGAACTTTTGAACAAGAAGTCACTTTTAAGAAAAATTCAAATTTTTTTGCTGTTTTACTGTTGCTTTTATGTTTTCATTATAAGTAATAAGACCTCTATCAAACAAAGTGTAAAAGTTCTCTGCCTCTGCAAGAAGTGTTTTTTAAAGCTATCAACTCAACAAATGCAATCGAAAATTACAAAAGATTGCAAGATGAAAGATGATTTATTCCTTCCATCTGGCATTTACTAATACCTCATTTCTATCAGTAAGTATTTGCATTGCTTACACTTATGAATGTCCTGTGAAATTGTCAACAGACAATAGTGAAAATTAAAAGAACAGCTTAGAAAAATAATTTTTGAGAACTATGTTTAATAAACTTATATAATATAAAGTAAAATATTATGCATGAAAAAGATAATACATGTAGATAATAAGAATCTAGCATTGTAAAAACTTAAGTGTATCTATCATATGTTCTTACAAGAGGTTTAATTACATCAGTTCCAATACAAATATAAATGTCTTGTTAATAAGTTAAATTGAAATTGGAAACGGGGAATGCGTCAAAGAGACAATGTAGTGACCACTTGTAGCATTTTGATTTCCTTTGCCCTTTCTTTGAACATAGACCTGAGTGAAGTTTAGCACCTCCCAGTTAGGAATATCCCATTAATAAGTTATTAATTAAAAACCAGTACATGCTGCCTTTAGTATCCAGTTTTTCAATGAGGGTTAAGCAGTAAAAAGACAAATTTTTGCTCAAATAGTGTCTTAGCTAAAATCTTGCCACCCATCAAATAATCTTTATAAAAGATTTTTATTGATTTATTGGTCAGTAGATTTTAGCTACAAGCGGTGCTAATTTCAATTTTAGGATGAATTTGTTGAATTGGTGTATTGTCAAACCAAAAGTCTATTTTTGATACTTAATATGCACATAGACTGCTGGTTTAGACATAGATAAGAAAAATAACTACAGAATCTGAGGCCAAAGTCCATCATGTCTGGACATTTTTGAAATTTTATAACTGGTTGTTTCCAAAATTTTACTCATCCCAAAATATTTCTGGGGATAAACTGTCAAATGTCATACAAAATCATTCCAACGTCAATTCAACAATTTTTCCAAGGAGGTATACATTATTGCTAGATGTTTTAACTCATGTGTTATATTCCATTCATTTTTATATAACATACTATATAACACCTCATTGCACTGACCCAAAGATACAGTATAAACAACAGAAAATCACACAAGAACAACATTACAACAAATTATAAATTGAACACTAATATATTTACAATCCAAGCATCAGAATCAGTCCAACATAAAACAAATGACAGTTAAACATATTCAGTACCAGTAGTGAGATTTTGTATAAAAGCTGTCAAATGAACATTTACAATTTCACACCTTGTTTTTACAAGCAGCAACATTTGCATCTGATATGACTATAAACCCAAAAGATTGCTGGGGAAATGTGAATGTTCCATTAACTATTTCTGGAATGTCTGTGACTTGTGACATAGTTAAGTCAGGATTCACTTTTAATGTTTTCCCATTCAAGGCAACTGTCCTGAAAATAGAACAAAGATACATTTAATGATTGAGTTTTACAGTTCTTTTCTGAGTGACCAATTGAACAAATATTCACTTGTATATAACAATACATGAAGGTTTACAAATTCATAGGTCAAAAATGTTGACTGCTAAATCTATACTGACAAAAAAATAAATATATTTTCAAAATTTTGCTTCAGACATTATCTCAATCATAAAAAAGCTTCTGGCAAAAATTCATACAACTCTATGAAGATTTCAAAGAAATTGATGTCTCACAAACTTTAACACCAGACTGTAACTAATGTCAACTGCTAAAAAATCTAAGTCCTTTTATTAGAAAAAAAAACAGGAAAGTGAAAAAAAATATTTTTATTTTTTTGCTCTGCATGAATACTCTCTTTAGGTCATAAATTTTTTTCTGTCCAAATGTCTGAAATTCCATGAAAGTAAGACAAATTATTGGTGTTTAAAAATACTTTAACAACAGACTGAACCTTAATGTGATGTCACCAACACCAACAGAATGTAGGATCACTTTGTCTTGCCTCTGCAACATAAATGTCGCAAGCTAGACAATAAAAGAAGAGTTCCAAAGTCCCCTGTGTTGCACATATTTCAACTGTCCAAGGGTAATGTATAAATGATTTTTTTTTCTTTTAAACTTTTTAAGAACATCTTTAACAAGAAATGAAGAATTGAGATTGCTAATAATGTTGTTTTCCATATATTTCTATATCCAAGGGACATAACTCCTGTAATAAACAGCTTCACCAAGAGTGCATGATATGCCCTTATTGTGCATATTGAAACTGTTGTAAGAATAAAATGGAATATTTCGAAGGCATTAATACATAAGCAAATAAAATGGCTCTGTAGAAAAACATGCCTGAGGATACTGTTTTGAAAATTGAACAATTATGTAAAGTTCCCACTAAATCAATCCAAGCAAACTCAAGTTATTGTACAATACATGAAAAATTTACTAAAATCTGACAATTAAAGTCCCATAACTCTGGAGTGACAAACCGGAAAAAAAAAGAATATTACAAGGGAACTTCCTTTCATTAATACCAACAATAATATAAAGTTTGCAGGAAATCAATTCAGGAATACTAGAGTTAGTGTGGGAAATCGCCTTAAATCAAAGTAAAAAATTATTAAAAAAAATTGAAATTACAATATGTTTTTAGTAAGTTTCCATGGGAGATAATCAATTTTTCTTTCGAAAAGTCTTCTATATTCAAAAGAATAATGTTTTAGGTTATCTCCCATGGAAACTAATTAAAAACATATTGTAATTTCACATATATTTTACTGAATGTAAGATGTTTTAATTCAAATGATGTTTAATTCTTATGAATATAGAAGACTTTTCAAAAGAAAAATTTTATGAAAGCTTAGTTTGGACATTTTTATAGCAATTCAAAATGACTACACATCAATAACAATAAAATTTCTATACAAACTGTTAGACTGATTTTTCATAATAACATTGAAGTGGAATTAAAGTCTTATAGGATTGTAAGTATTGTTTATATTATCACCTTGTACTTTCACGACTTGACTGTGGTTTTCTACAGCTGTTTGTTCAAATTTCTGACCAGTTGAACAGTTTGGTTTTATAAAACAAATTGCAATTTGGTCAGTATTTTGAATAAATTGCAATAGGTGGAGAGCAACACTAACAGACAAGTCACAGTAAAGTTATAAGCGATTTGATTAAAGCAAATTTGAGTCATCATACGAGGTGTTGATGGACAAACATTGGTGTACCATTCAGTCCCTTCTTCGACTGGGGTATAAAAATAGTTGGTCAGCGCTCTTCCAAACCTTGCTGATATAAGCCTTTGATATAAATATTTGACAAGATTAGGAGTTTCAGGAGTGCTCACAATGCAATCGTAAATATATATCATATTTCAAAGAGACATTACTCCTATTAAAATAACAGATCAGTGCTGAATTTCGAAGTCATGAGAGACATTGCTGATATAAACCTTTGAAATTTTATAGCAATCCTACAAGAAATGGTGGTGTGAGAGTGCATACAACGCAATTTTCTTTAGATCTATAATTAATATTTCTGAATCTTATAAAAAAAGTTGATCTGTATTGACTTTGAAATCTGTCTGAGACATTGCTATTATAAAACTTTGATATAAATTTCATAAATATCTGTCAAGAATTGTATACTTGAGAGCATGTTAATGCAGTTAAAAATTAACTGTTTAATGTTTTCTATACACTACAAAATCATTGTATCCCCAAGTTGCACCAATTGTAAGCTTGATTTTGCTTCTTTTAGTTGTTCTTAATTGACCATGTACTAGAAGGTCCTATTACAAAGTAGGTAACCTGTTAAAAAAGTATACAATCCAGTGACATTGTGTCTAAAGTTGGTTATATGAAATAGTCTATTACAAACATACCCTTATAAAAATGATGACCAAAAGTATACCTTTAGTCAGAGAAAACTGATAGAAAATCAAAATGGATATATAACCTTTATAACTTCATCATTCCCAGGCTATCACACAGTTAGTTTAAACAGAATACTAAATCCCTGGGATGTGTTTTAGTTGATTTCAGTCTTTGATGCATGATGTTTTATTATTAATTGTTTTGGCTTTTAACTAGCTGTCAGTAACTGCGAGTACTCTCAAATCGTACTTCTTTTTAATTTGACCTGTTGATACTATTTGTTATGCTTTTTTTGTTATTTAATGTTAACATGGATCTTGTCTATATACCAGCTTTGATTATTTGGTATTACTACAAATTTTCACTTCTTCGTACTATGAACATAAAAATTATTTCATTTCTCCTTAAATTCTTGCACCTGTACAGGAAGTTTTATCTAGCACTAATTGTATAGTTTTATTGTTGATATTCACCCCATATGTACCAAGTGTTAAATTAGTTTTATTGATATTAAAGAAATTTCTTGGTATTCCTAAACAGAAGATTTAATACATACAGAAGAAGAAGTATACTTAACAACAAAATTATTTTCATTTACCTGTGTATAATATGACGCAGGTTTTTTTCAAAAGTGATAATTTTCTAAATATTGTTTAACATTTCACAGTTGTATCATACTTTAACTTTGTTTAAACCTGTTTATTTACTTTTGACCTTAATTATTTATCCCTTATAATTTTTATTAACTATGTATTTGCATTCAGGTATCACAGATCAAATTTATTCGTTCATTGTGTGTTAATTTATGTTTTTTTATTGAGTTAAGCCTTCCAATTGATATTTTATAGTGTGTCTTTCTATGTTGTGATGTTTTACTATTGTTTCAGAAAAGGGAGAAGGTTTGGTACCATTAAAACATTTAATCCCGCTGCAAATGTTTGCACATGTCCTAAGTCAGGAATCTGATGTACAGTAGTTGTCGTCTGTTTATGTAGTTCATATGTGTTTCTCCTTTCTCGTTTTTATATAGATTAGACCGTTGGTTTTCCCGTTAAAATGGTTTTACACTAGTAATTTTTTAGGGCCCTTTATAGCTTGCTGTTCGGTGTGAGCCAATGCTCCGTGTTGAAGGCTGTACCTTGACCTATAATGGTTTACTTTTATAAATTGTTACTTGGATGGAGAGTTGTCTAATTGGCACTCATACCACATCTTCCTATATCTATTTATTGTTCAAAATGACAAATGGATCAGACACACAGTTAACACTTCCCACGGCTGTTACACATAAATCAAATATTTTTTTTAATTTAATAACAAATATCAAACTTCGTATTTAAATATCTAATTTCACATAATATATATTAAATAACAAATTTTACATAATATATAATGATAAAAAAAATTTCATAATAAATAAAATATAACAAATTTTACTTTACATATTGTAAATAACAAATGTTAAATGTCATGCATTTTGAAAGTCTTAAGCCTGGGTAACATAAAAAAAAAATCCATCCCCTTCAAGTTTTACATCTTGTGGAGCATATACATGTATATTTCATTTCTAATCCAAGTTTATACTGATATCAGACAGTTTTTAAACAAAATCAAATATATTACATAGAAATTGCACACCCATACTTGGGGTGTTAAATTTCTGTCTTGAAACCATAACAGATCTATTGTCATGCAGACAAAACATACACCATTATTTTCTTTAATCATTTCCCTTTATCAAAATGTACCTTTTATTCACCAATAAACCCCCGGTAGCACAAACAAAAGCTTTATTTCCCTAAACCCTCTATTTTCATATTAGGTAGCACTCCACAGTTAGGTGTGTAGTTTCGCATTTTGGCCCCTGTGGATTTTTCAAATATGAGAGCTAGTGTGCAATAAAATTCATTTTTGGATAGCTGATAATCAATATAGCCTTCGAAGTGGGTTTATAGGAACATCCAGATTGTGTCATGCATGTATTATGGGCTGTTTTCTGTATGACAGTCCGTATTTTCCTATCCATACCAAACATCGGTCCGGCAATTATTGCATTGTTTTTTTCTAACTTTTTGTCGCACAAACTTTGTGATTAAATTTTACAAAAAAATGAGGCGAAAGACACCCAATTTTTATTTGATCATTTGGTAGATTAATGTCAACAGTTTCAGAAAAGGTATCACTCATAGGCATTGAAATTCTTGTTTAAACCAAATTTTTGGGGAATATGTGACATTTTCATGCCACTTTTTGCAATATTTTATGATAGATAAATGCAGAATGTTGCTATGGATACACAAAAAAGGAATTATTTTTCACCATTTTAACTTTTGAAAATTAAATCTATGGAAGATACTGATTACATACATATGCACATGTATGACACAAACATTTGGCTTAATGTGTATTAGAAAGCCAGGAATAGAAGATGATAAAACATTTTGTGGTTCAATTTTAATTTTATTTTCTAACTGTGGAGTGCTACCTTAGGTGTACTTTGGCTTTGGGTATGAGATTGTTATTTCCTCAGATCAGTAATTATGTGTGTTAATTTGTGCAAATAAGTTGTCAAGCGGCAAGTTTCCATACAGACTATCAAACAGAAAATAGCCCATAAGCCATAAAGTGTAAATCCTAATGTTCATAGCTATCAAAAATGAATTTTATTGCAGAATAATTCAAATTTTATATTTGTAAAATTCAATTGGATTAAAATGAGAAACCACATGCCTAACTGTATATTGTTACCTAAGATGTAATTCATTCAGTTGAAAAGAGTTTTATGTTTGCCTAATTGCTTATTTATAAAAAAAAAACATTTTTCTGCGCCTTTGAAAATCTGTCAAAAGGGCAAATACCACCATTTAAACAAACCTTACAGTGAGTTCTATGTATAATAGAAAATTGTGGGAAATTCACTTTGATATCAATGCACAACTTATACTGAATTTTAAACAAATTATTTCACAAGCAAAAGATATGGATAGAATACTATCATATTTTCTATGGACTGTCTAAAATGATACCTTAGATTTTTAGATTCTCAAATCAAAAAGATTATTTTTTTATAAATTTTGATCTATATAGGAATTATATATGCAAGTGTGTTTTTATTAAAAACTTGGGCCATTGGACACTAGATAGATCTTGACATTCTGAACATTTGTGCTTGGTAACTGTTTTCAAGGTGAAAGACAATACTTGCATTTTAATGAATATGTTGTTTGTTGACAAACTTCCTTTCATCAAGCTAATATCATATCGGGTCTGTATGATGTATATCAATATTTTACAGCATTTGCTACTCATATTATTATGAAAATAACATTTCTAATTTTACACCAGTTATGAGTATGTAAACATACATAAGAAAACATTTCTTTTCAGCACATAACTTTAGCATGCTGCAGAATGAAAATTTCTTCCTATCTTAATGATCTAGCTAATCAACCATCATACCATAGGGCCAGGTTAATTGTATCTAAAGATTATGTGATGACAAGTTTATATCAGTTGTTATACTTACTGTGATTTCAATCCATCTTTACCAACAGGTTCTAACATATAAAGGTAAAGTTTGACATCAGGTTGGAACTGTGGGAAAACAACTGTTGTCGGTTCTGTCATCAAGTTCATTCCATATAATGTTATACTTCCTCGCTTGTAATCAGTTCTATAAAATAGTAATTACATAGTAATGTACTTCAGCTTACGTCATCAGAAATATGAATAAATACAAAAAAAAACTCAGAATACTGTGTAGGTTTTTCTCATTGTTGAAGGCTGTACTGTGTTCTATAGTTGCTAACATCCACTTCATTTGAACTTGGATGGATAGTTGTCTCATTGGCAATCATACCACATCTCCTTTTTTTTATACTGAATCATTTTCACTGCAATTTTTTCTCCGATAAAGTTAAGAGAAATTCAGCAAAAGTGACATGTCTATCTACTACCAGATTATACTTTTATAGCATTTGGCTGGCTTATTCAAGCCTAAGAAAAGAGATTTGAAACATTAAGCAGTAGAGTGATGTTATAAAAGCATTTTTTTTCTGAATACTTACCTTAGGGTGTTAGTACAGTGGGCATACATTCTTACATATCCAGACTGATCATCCATGGTGACATTCAATACAGATTCTCCAACTAGTATTTTAAACAGGAATGATGACCACAAGTCCTGAAATATCAATTCTCTTAAAAAATTAAAACATACATTACAAATACAAATATTTTATTGGCACAAACACAATTACAATAATTAGCAATGGCCCATATTTCAGAACATTTTTACAATGAATACAGCATAAAAAATAATATGTTATAATTAAGGAGAAAACATCTCATTTCTATAACCTAGACAATTACATATATAAGAACTACTATAAATTCAAAAATCAGAGATTGACCTTTATAAATTCTTTTATACTCTGTGACATTAGAAAACTAAACTTGATTAATATCAGTGTGGCAAACTATGATACATGTAATTGTTATTCAACATTTGACTATCAATATTGTATATTAAAGTGTTTTTTTGGAAGAATGATGTGCAAATTAAGCTCAATATAGATCATCAAGGTTATTTTTTTTAGAATTGTGGCAGGTTTTATACTTGTTCATTGCCTTAAAGGGGATACCAGTAATTAAACAAGAACTGATTTGTGTTAATGAAGGCATCCCATAAATATATATAATTTCATAATGTACAAAATTGTTATTATTAATACATAGATGAAAAAATAATGTTGTTTGTTAAGTCCTACTTCAGTTCAGTCATCTGGTAACCAAGGAGTTTAAACAAGTATAACCTCTTATAAATACAAACCACATTGTGCACATAGTTCTGTTAGTCTTGGTGAAAATATTTATACTTTTTTACCACCAAGAGAGTTTGTAACCAAATTTGTTTGCAGTATTGAAATTTCATGATTTCATCTGCCAAGCCTGCTTTGGGAAAATTTTCATGTTTTAATTGTCTGTGATTCTCATCTTCTTAGAACAGAGAATGTTTTCAAGAATTTATCTTAATCACAAAAAATAAACCCAGGAAGAAAATTTCCCAATCTACTGTAATTTCCTCTGGTTTGTACATTCAAAATATATTTACCAGTTTTTAACATCTGTATACTATATTTGCATTTTATTTTAATAATGCATTATATATAGGTTACAATGTAAAGCCTGCATTGAACATAGAAGATATGTATTGGATACAATTACTTATGTTAGAATCAGAGATAGACCTTCATAGATTCTCTGTGACATTAGAAAACTTGATTAATATCAGGGTGCCAAACTATGATACATGTAATTGTTATTGAACATTTAAATATCAGGATTGTAAATTTAGGTGCTATTTTGGATGAATAATGTACAAATTAAGCTCAATATAGATCATCAAGGCTATTTTTGTATATATATGTGTTTTTTGGAAGAAAGATGTGCAAATCAAGCTCAATATAGATCATCAAGGTTATCTATTTTAGCACTGTGACAGGTTTTATACTTATTCAATGCCTTAAAGGGGATACCAGTAATAAAACAAGAATTGATTTGTGTTAATGAAGGCAAACAATGGTTTAAATATGTTTTCATAAAGAACATTATGGTTATTATAAATGCATATATGAAAATCTCAAATCTTGTTTATTAAGTCCTATTTCAGTACATTTATGAGTCAATGGTAATCAAGAAGCTTATACCGGTATTAACCTGTTTCAAGACTTTATATTCCTGTTTCAAGACATCAAGCATGAACTCTTCTCCAGTTTTGATGATAGTTATTCACTCTTTTTGACAGCAGCTGATGTTATTTATAAACACATAGTTTTGTAAGTGTTGATGAAAAATAAATCACACTTTTTACAACCGTTGAAGAGATTTTGAACCAAAATTGTGGTTTTGTCTCAGTAATCCTTTTTTTTTTTTCTTTATTTCATTATTTTCACTTTTTTATTAAATACCATGCCACTTAACTGTTTTGACCAGTCCATCAGTCTGTCTGTCACCTGTCTGTCTATCAGTCTGTCTGTCCCCTGTCTGTCCACCAGTCTATCGGTCTCTTGTCTGTCCATCAGTATGTCTGTCTCATCTGTCCATAAGTCTGTCTGTTCCCTGTTTGTCCATCAGTCTGTCTGTCACCTGTCTGTCCCCTGTCTTTCTACCAGTCTGTTGGTCTCTTGTCTGTCCATCAGTATGTCTGTCCCCTGTCTGTCCATAAGTCTGTCTATTCCCTGTTTGTCTATCAGTCTGTCTGTCACCTGATTGTCTATCAGTCTGTCTGTCCACTATCTGTCCCCTGTCTGTCCACCAGTCTGTCGGTTTCTTGTCTGTCCATCAGTATGTCTGTCCCCTGTCTATCCATAAGTCTGTCTGTTCCCTGTTTGTCCATCAGTCTGTCTGTCACCTGTCTGTCTATCAGTCTGTCTGTCCACTGTCTGTCCCATCTTTCCATAAGTCTGTCTGTTCCCTGTTTGTCCATCAGTCTGTCTGTCACCTGTTTGTCTACCAGTCTGTCGGTCTCTTGTCTGTCCATCAGTATGTCTGTCCCCAGTCTTTCCATAAGTCTGTCTGTTCCCTGTTTGTCTATCAGTCTGACTGTCACCTGTCTATCAGTCTGTCTGTCCACTGTTTGTCTCCTGTCTGTCCACTAGTCTGTTTGTCTCTTGTCTGTCCATCAGTATGTCTGTTCCCTGTTTGTCCATCAGTCTGTCTCTCACCTGTCTGTCTATCACTCTGTCTGTCCATTGTCTGTCCCCTGTTTGTCCACCAGTCTGTCGGTCTCTTGTCTCTCCATCAGTATGTCTGTCCCCTGTCTGTTCCCTGTTTGTCCATCAGTCTGTCTGTCTTCTGTCTGTTCATCAGTCTGTCTGTCTCCATAAATTTTATTTTATATTTTTATTTGTTAGAACTCTTAAAATTAGCTTGTAGGTTTCCAAAATCAAAACCTTCCATGAGCTTGGTCATCATAAATAGGGGACTAAAAATATCCAATACTAATCATGCAGGGATGTGGGTCATGTGAGCTTGCTTCTAAATGTTATCTCATTTAACTTATTTTTTGGGAAATATAATCTGTTAACTCTTTGAATATAATTTTAAATGTCTATATCATAATTACAATTTAACTAGAAAAAAGTAGAAATAATTATAAACAATATCAAAATATTAAAGTTCTTGCATATTATGAATGATTGGTTTTAAAGTTCCCATTGAATGAACTCCACATAGAACAATAACTACTGTATTTATTTAATGGGACAATTCATGTTGCAAAAATTTAAATACCCAAACAAACAGGTACTGATTCTGGGGAAAGGTTTTATTTCCTTCGCAATTAATATTATCTCAATGCTGTGAACAGTTCAATATGTTTGAATAATAAACATTATGATACATCTGCTGATGTGCAATACACATAAAGATAATCTTTTTGAACACAAAATAAGTTTAACAAGGTAATTACATGAAACAGCAAAATATGAATATATTCCTAAAGTAAAATGACAATTTTAATTACATGAAGACAAAAAATAAAACTCTCAAAATACATAGAAACTTATAACCAGGACATCAGGTGTAAACAAGGATTGATTTTCAACAAACTTGTGTGAAGTGTTGAACTGAATCTGTATATGATTGTGGCTATTCCACCAAGGGAACAATAATGTAAATTAACATCCATATACCCATGATCATTGTCTCACATGTTATGTTCAAGCTCTTAAGCTTTTCTTTTTCATGGCCATACATGTTTGTTTAGTTTGTTGTATTAAAATTCATGTTAATCAGTTTTAGTTAGTTGAATCACAGTTGTCCAAATAAACATCACACCAACTTTAAACTGAAACTATTTTGAATGAAGTAGAACATGAACAGAGCTCTACATGAACAGTCTTAAACTTACTTCTTCAACAGGTAAAATTGTCATTCAAGGGCAATAACTCCTACAATGAGTCAACTGTTGATTTTGGCTACAGTGACTTATATGTAGATCCTATTTTCCTGATTATTATCCAAATCACCAGTAACAGGAAAAAGTGACATGGAAATAGAGAGAATGACTTAATAAAATTTAGTCCAGTGTCCGATGGGTTACAAAAATTACAAGATTTAGGATCCCAGCAATCTGGTTAGCACACATGAACAACTTACACACTTTCAAACTTTAATCATGTCGAATGTTACATTTTCAAGCAGTGTAGAACTATCTTACTGTTGTACTTACAGGATTAGGGTCTAGCGTCGTTGGATCAATTAAACCATAACTATTTCCATAAAAATCTTGTCGTATAACAGCTTCTATTCCTAAGGATGCTGATATACCTAATTTATCCAACCACCTGTAGGAAAAGAAGATTACAGATTAACATTCCATAAAACTGATGAAGAGTAGTATAAATAAGTATGTCATAAAGAAATGAAAACATCACTTTATAAATTGCATGCGTCTATAGCGCTGTTCTGGAGTTACCATCATCAGGAAACACTTAAAGCTGGATATTGAAAAGCCAAGGATGAATAAGAACCAAAAATGTTGAAGAGCTATATTAGACCAAAATGGACCTAAAAAATAGCCAAATCAATGTAAGGTCAACTTTGCCTGAGGGAGTTGGAACCATAGTTTCTTTATTTCAAAATTTATAAATGGACAATTTTAGAAAAGGTGTAAACCCATCCTACAAATCTATAGTTTTCATTTGGATTTTTCCAGTTAGGGAATAAGGGTTTATACAAACATAACCTGTTCATAACACTTATTTTAGTGGGTAACAATTTCATTGGATTGAGGAAAACTTGCATTTTTGTGGATATTTGACTTCTTGGTTTTGCAAAAGTCTGCATACAAGCATATAGAAAATTTGGGATTATTTGAACATTTAAATTAGTGGTTCACCTGTACCAATGAAATCCATGAAAATTGGTATCCCGCAAATAATCATCAATCCACAGTATTTGATTTGCTTTCTCCATAGGACTAGGTCATGATGCTGACCTGACATGGACTAACATTTAAACCCACTTATCTGTCACTTGAAACATCAAGTCCTTTCCACCATACTGAACTTGTTTTTTCCTAACTGGAAATTGTTATTCAAAACAGCAGCTCATTTTGCCCAACAGATGAGCTTATTTTTCAAAACCAGAACTTACATTTAACCATTTACTTCTCTATTGCTCAAAACAGTAGCTCCTTGTCCCAAGGCTGAGCTTATATTTCCAAACCAGAACTTACATAAAACCAGCCACATATCTGTCACTCAAACCAGCAGCTCCTCCTCCCCATGCTGAGCTTGTTTCTCCTAACCAGACTTTGCCATATAACGGATATGGTGCTAATCCCTGAACCAACTTTATCTGATGCTTTAGACTGTCCAGGAGTTTAGGATCCATGAACTTAGCAACAGTCATGTCTGGACCATGTCCATAATAACTGTAGAGAAATAAAATATGATGTGATGGCATTTATTATATGTAACTTTGCATTTCCTATTTTTGCTGAAATCAAAGTTTTAATGATGTGCATAATTTTTTAATCAAAGTATTTGTTAACATCGTATTGGACAGTTGTAGTATGCTACAAGTTGATTTGACAACAACCATATGGCAAATTAACTTAAAACAAACTTAAACCTGATTTGGGATGGACAGACATGCAGAAAACATAACAGCCCCTACCATTGTATAAGGGTCATAAAAATCCAATTTCGTATTGTGGTAGCTGATTTCATGTCCAAAATTTCCTCGCTGTTACATGTATTTTACAATCCTAGGCATTAAACTCAAAAACAGCAACAAATTTTATTAGATTCCAACATATCAAACTTGAGTCATCATTAAAAGTGATAAAGATAAACATAAAATGTTTTAATTTTTTTTTAATGAAATAAAAATGGTCCGCTGGACGCAGCTTGATATGACAGCAGCGGTCGAATCCTGAACAGTTGGGGCAAGTATGGACACATCATTTAAGCTTAAAACATCTCTGAATTTGGATTGTTATTAAATATTTGACACAGCATAGTTTTGTGACAAAAAATTATTGTGGTCAAAGAACTGAAAAATTTGAAATTGGACATTGGTGCAGAAAAAGTGGTACTGTTTATGTTATTACCTATCATGGTCCAACATCCAAAATCTAAGTACATGGTAAGAATCATCATATCAAAGAACCCCAAGAATCCAATTTTTGATGAAATCAAACAAAGGTTTAATTTAGGACCCTTTGGATCTCAATGTGGACCAATTTGATAAAGGAGCCCAAAATCCAAAATCTAAATACATGGTTAGATTCAGCATTTCAAAGAACCCCATAAATTCAATTTTTGTTGAAATCAAACAAAGTTTAATTTTGGGCTCTGATTTAGACCAACTTGAAAACTGGGCCCAAAAATCCAAAATTTAAATACAGGTTTAGATTCAGTATTTCAAAGAACCCAATATATATTCAATTTATATTGAAACACAGTTTAATTTTGGACCCCGATTTGGACCAACTTGAAAACTGGGCTCAAAATCAAAAATCTTAATACAAGTTTATTAATGGACAATATAAGCTTAGTTTTTAAAGGAATTGGCTTCATCAAAATAAAAATATATAGTATTCAGAAAATTAGTTTATACAGAATAACAAACAAACCTACCACAAAATTCTTCGAACAATTTACTAAAGAAAAGAAAAAAATAATTTCCAAAATATCATTTATCATTAATACAAAATCCTTAAAAAATCTATAAACCTATCTGTTATTATCTTCAAAATATCTAATAATGAACAGTAAATTTTCAACTATATTTATACAATCCTTCAGAGCTTATCATCAACAACACTTAGGAAACACAAAATTTTCAAATAAATCTTTCACTCCAATTATAATTGTGTTATTGATAATTACCACATGTTTTGTTATCTTAATAATAGGTGAAAATTATTGCATGAATAAATTAATAGTAAATAGTTAATTGTAAAAATCTATTATACAAATTGTGTGTAGTTTTATAGGAAGAAAAATTAAATTTTCAATTTCTTTTTGTTATGTGTAGTGGAATTTCATTATAAATTTTCCTTCATTCTTTTTTATATTTAATTTCTATGATTAGGTTATAAAGATTTTAAATATTATTCAAAATATCTAATAATGAACAGTACATTTCAAACTATCTCAATACACAATTTCTTCTCTAAAATTAGATATGATGCTGTATCTTTTTTTAACTATGACTCAACTAAAATTTGGATTAATCGTGCAATACATCTCTAAATTTAGATTCTGATTAAATATTTGATATAGCATAGTTTCTGACACAGAATGAATATGGTCTTAGTACTTAAATAATTTAAAATTGAACCATTACCAACATGACCAAGTATGGTCCCATTTCCAAATTCTATGGTTGGAATCAACCAGGGGTTTTTCTGGGTATTTTGGGAAAAAGGACCCTGGCTAGTTTTGGGAATTTTTTTACGCAATTTTCAGTGAAATTGGGAAAACAACAAATATACCAGATGTGAGTTTTAGTGTGTTTAGTTCATTAAAAATGATATTTTTTTGTGAAAATAAAGTAAGAAACTACATGATTGCAATTTATAATTTCATTTTCTGTTCTTTTTGTTTTTAAACTTCACAACAAGGCACTCAAGATTATTTTAGTATTAAAATGATGAGTTCTTAAGGCACACATGTGATTAAAATTTATCGCTTTTTTTTATCTTCAAAGACAGTTACAGTTAACATGATTAATATAATAAATAATTCAGGGATATATGTACATGTAAGATGTTTTTACAGGCCAAGCAGGATAACACTTTTTGAAATTCACTTGCTCTTCCAGATTTTTACTGGCCCTTCAAAATTGAGAAGAAATTACCTCTTGGATCTGTAGTTATATGTTTACATTATAAAATCATCTAATATCAACATTTTTCTTTGATAAAGAAAAGTAATGTCACATTTTATTGGATTTTGACATGAAAATTTGTGAACTAAAAATAATTGAGTTTCTGTATAAAATATTTCCTGTTTCTTCTTTCTTTTTCATCATGTTCATATATCTTTTTGTTTTCAATTCTAGTGTTTATATTTCATAGCTGTATTTTGTGACCTGCTTGGATTTTTTTATATTCATTTATTGTATTAGATCGGCAAACCCGGAATTAGTCTTATCCGTTCCCAGAAACTGATCCAGTATTGTAATTGTCTACATTTCTGGTTTATGTCAGCCATTGTTGTTGATGTTGTTTTTGTCAATCAGATATGTTTTTACTCGGATTTACACATCACTTGTTGGCTATTTTCGGCATAAAGCTAGCGGCTGAACAAAATAAACATAGCTGTCATGAGTAATAAAGATGAAAATGAATTTTGAGATCATTTGGGAATTTTGCTCCCAAAATTGGGAAAAATGTAGGGTTTATGCCATTGGGAATGGGTCCGAATAACGGACCCTGTGGAATGCTAGAAAAATCCATGTCAACATATCAAAGAACCCCAAGAATTAAATTTTTGAAGAAATCCAACAAAGTTTAATTTTGGACCCTTTAGACTTCAATGTGAATCAATCTGATAACAGGACCAAAAATCCAAAATCTAAATACACACTTAAATTCAGCATATAAAAGAACCCTATATATTCAATTTTTATTTAAAATCAAACAAAGTTTAATTTTGGACCCCAATTTCAACCAACTTGAAAACTGTTCAAAAAATTTAATTATATGCTTAATAGATTCAGCATGTCACAGAATCCCAAAATTTAGTTTTTGTTAAAATCAAACTAAGTTTAATTTTGGATACTTTGGACCTTAATGTGGACCAGTTTGAAAAACAGGCCCAAAATAAAAAATTTAAAACACTGTTAGACTGCACACATTAAGGAACATCAATGATTTATTTTTTTATGAAAACAAACAAAGTTTAATTTTGGACCAAAATTTGGACCAACTTTAAAAACCAAGCCCAAATTCAAAAGTTTAAAACATGTTGGATTGGGCATGTCAAATAACACCAATAATTTAATTTTTGATGAAATCAAACAAAGTTCAATTTTGGACCACAATTTGGACCAACTTGAATACTGTGCCCAAAATCAAAAATCTTAATACAGGCTTAGATATAGCATATCAAAGAACCCCAACCATTCATTTTTTTCAAATCAAACAAAGTTAAATTTTGGACCATTTGGACCTTAATGTCGACCAATTTCAAAACTGTCCCCAAAATTAAAAATCTAAATACATGGTTAGATTCAGCATATCAAAGAACACCAATAATTCAACTTTTGACGAAATCAAACAAAGTTTAATTTTGGAACCCTTTTTGGACGCTAATTCCTAAACAGCTATGACAATAACCCCAAAAATCAATCCCAACCTTCCTATTGTGATGTGGAACCTTGTGCTAAAATTTAAGAGAGATATATATACTAAAGTTATTGTCTTAAAACCAGAAAAATAATTGTTTTTTGGCCCCTTTCTGGCCCCTAATTACTAAACAGCTTTGACTATAACTCCCAAAATCAATTCCAACCCTTCTATTGTAGTATGAAACCTTGTGCTAAAATTTCTTACACATCCATACACTTATGCTAAAGTTATTGTCTGTGAATCAATTTATTTTCTATGAACCAGTAAAACTGACCTTTTTTGGCCCCTAATTACAAAACTGCTTGGACAATAACCCCCCAAAACAATGCCAACCATCCTTTAGTGGTATGGAACCTTGTGCTAAAATTTCATAGAGATCCATGCACTAATAATTGTTATTTTCTGCGAACCAAAATGTCTTCAGATGCAGTATTTGGTAGATATTATGTCTGATGTAACTGGGACCAAAAGATCTGTTGTAGCATGGAAGTATTATATTAATATGAACTACTGCAACCCAAATTCAAATGTGTAATCTGCTATTACTAGTATTAGAGTTAAATTTCCAAACATATCCCCATTCATGAAGCCATTGTGTTTTCTTTTTCAGATGTGCTTTGAGTGTCTACTAATATAGTTATGCACCTACACATACTTATATAAGTACATATATCAATATTTTAGATCCCATCTTAGCTGTACATGTAATTCTCCTATTTAAGTGTTAATTGGTTAGTGTGAAACTCACACTTTATTTTTAATAGTTCTATAAAATTGTTTTTGAGTTCGAAAGATAGCAGGAATCATAATTTCTGCAGTGCAAGTGTCCTACATATACATTCTTTTAGTTTTGTAAAAATGGAGCACAAAGACGAACAAAGAACAAAAAAAGTTTTAATAGTTGAAAGCAGCTGTAGTAAACGAGTACAACATATAGCTTGGTAAGATAGTGGAAAAAAGAAAAAAATAGTGGGAAATAAGCTCAAATGTTATATAACTTGGCAGGAAATAATGTATGAATTGGACAATAATTTGGATGGACTGCATTTCAATTTTTTAAAATGAGAACAAGCCAAAAGAAAAAAGTGAGGTTGTACCACCAAAAAATATAACTATTTATTAACTATTTTTGGAGTGAAAAAATTTCTTTGGATGTATTAGATAAATTATATGCTTGCGATGGTCCTTTTGATTCAGTTGACAGTTTTGACTTTTGCACTCTTTATACTACACTTGCACACAATCTTAACAAACAAAAGCTTTCCTATTTAATTAAATGGTTGTTTGAAAAATCTGATTGTAAATTTATTTGCTGCAACTCGTATAAAGCCTTTTTCTCCAAGGTATAGCTACTAGATATACTTACTGGAGGTGTGATGAGATGATTTAGGCTGTAAATTTTCTCCTTGACAACATTTATGTACGTTTCGGCAATAAAGTTTATCACTAGGTTGTAGGTATGCCCTTTAATAGCAGTCTTGTTCATGTACTGTTATCAATTACAATTTATGACCAAACTTAGTAAAGATAAATTCAACAACACTTACTGTTATCTTGATGATAATTTTTCTTTTAATAATCAAAAATTCTCAAATATATATTGTCGAAATTTATCCAAAGGAACTTACTTTTAATAAATCAAATTTTAACAAGAATAACTGTCCTTTCCTAGATTTAGATATTTCAGTATTACACCAGAAACTCTACATAAAATGTTACAAAAAAGGGATGATTTTTCTTTTTCTATTGTAAATTTTCCTTTTTTATAAGGTGAAGTTCCTTCTGTGACATCTTAACGTGTTTATATATCCCAACTTGTTCACCAAGCCTATGTCTGTAGTGACATTTTGGGTTTCAATGAAAGTAATCTATGTATTACTGGTTAGTTATAAGTCAGGGATTTTGTTACCACAAATTCATTAAAACTGTTTCAATATTCTCCCATAGAAAAAAGATTTGGTTTGGAAGTTTAGCTGTATCTGTAGAAAAACTTATTTCAAATGGGAAAGCACATCCTTAATTTTACAGTGATGTTGTTTACTGAGCCCGGCAATTAAGACATGATCCTTTAAATTAACTTACTCTAAAAGGTTAACAATTCAACACTGTAATCATATCTTTGAATATTGTTTTATTGGTATAAATAATGATTTTGTTATCAGTAAATTAAAACCATACTAAATATTATTGTTATACAAATATACACATTCACGGTTCTTCAATCTGTCAATACCTTTATTTTGGCACTGCACAAGGTCATGTTTTTCTCTGACTGTTAAAGGCATTTTTACACTAAATCCATTGGATGTTGGATGTGTACTGATTGACATTTTAGTCTTAGATACATGATTTTTTATTACCGGTAGTTGTTATTGGCTTTGAACTAGCTGAGTACTCTAGGGCAGGGCTTCCAAAATTATTTTTAGCCAGCCGGACATTTTATATATTATCCCGATTTTAATCCCTTAAGACTAAATAAACAAAAGGCAATTATGGTATTCAGTTGCTGAGTTGGCCATCCCAATGATTAACATTAAAAAAACCCGATATTAAACTTTCTTGGATTCAAATTCGAAGTTCTGACGTAAACTGTTAAATTGGCAGTGCATCATTCGAAGTGTGCAACATCAGCGTACTTATATCTGCCTTAGACTCTTTATTTGTGCAAAATAACGTTGCCATAAACTTTACATTCGTTAAAATCTTATACCGGATGTTATCTTGACAATGGTAAAACATGGACCAGAGACGGATACGTAAATTCCGTGTACGTTTGCAAAGCATGAATGAGTGTACGTAGCTCTTTCTACGTTATTTCTTCAAGAAAATATTCGAAATAAACGTGAGATAAAGGTATCAATGACAATTTAAGCATTTTTTGAAGAAATTAGGATGCATAATTAAATTTCACACCTGCGCACACGTGTACTAGTTCAAACAGAGACATGTCTCTGGATCAAACAACGTGGTTATGACGATTTTTCATTTTCACCTTTTTAATTTTTTCAACAAATCATATTTGTAAACGTATTTCTAATAATTTAAATCTTTTTGACTAAATTAATGAGATGCAAACCGCTGAAATGTAAGAAAATAACTTTGAATAGACTGATCAATGTCCGGTTCAAAATAGTTTACCTGTCACCTGAACAGGTAAATTTCAGCTGTTCGACAACTAATTAGCCTTGATTAAAATTAGAAGGTATTAAAGTAGAGGTTGTTTTGATAGTACTTAATGATCATGTCACTTTTATGACCGGAAATGTGTGGCTGTTAAAGGCAAAAGGTTGGGTCAAAAAGATCGTGAATTATGTTGAAATGACCGTCTGTTTAGAAAGCCTTGAAAACTAAAAAGTAGATGACCGTTTCATGCTTTACCCAGCCGGACTTTTACCGGACATTATACAAATGTCCGGAATATATGACCGTTTTGGAAGCCCTGCTCTAGGGTCTGTTCTTAGTGTCTTATTTGTTGTCCAGTCTGTGTTTTTGTTATTAGTTTTTCTGCTCTGCATTGATCTGATGAGTTAAGCCCTTTTCAGCTGTTAGTTTGTTCTTATGTTGTACTGTAACACCACTGTCCCAGGTTAGGGAAGTGTTGGGCGCCTGCTAACATGTTGAACCGCCACATTCTTTATGCGCCTGTCCCAAGTAAGGAGCCTGTAGTTCAGTGGTTGTTGTTGGTTCATGTCTGTCATCATTGTTTTTGTTATAAATTAGGACGTTTATAGTTTCTCAATTAATTTGTTTCACCTTTTTCATGTCTGGGCCTTTCATAGCTGACTATACGATGTGTTTTTCTCATTGTTGAAGGCTGTACGGTTGCCTATAATTGTTTACATTCAATTCATTTGAATTTTGGTGGATAGTTGTCTCATTGGCAACCATACCACATCTCCATATTTTTATTAGGTCTTTGTCTTCTTTGGTCACTTATAGGTTGTAAATAGATGAAGCGTCAATTTTTCATAACATCAGTCATTTTGCCTGGACTTCAAAAGTCAGACACAATTAAACAAAATGTTTTACCTTTTATCCTGTTTAGATCTGAAGTGCCATATCTCATATTTTCAATGTTTTTAATTTATAGGTTAGACAGGGATAATGAAAAAGAATTTGATTAAAACAAGCATTCTGTGAGTATTGCATGGCAATACATAGTCCCCTACCGGTTAAAAATTCATTGTAATGGAACGAAATTCTAAATTGATCTATAACTTGTCATGGTGTAAACTACATAAAAATATCAAGTCAAAATCTTCAAGCATGACGAAAAAAACTGTTGAAAACTGATTATTTAAGTGAATTTTCTATGACCAAAAACCATAACTCTGCACAAAATCATCAGACCGGAACAAAATTCCAACTTGATCTGTAACTTGTCATGATAAAACTATATACTAATTATCAAATCAATATCTTCAAGAATGACAAACAAACTTCCACTAAATTCTTCAAACAATTTACCAAAGACAAGGAAAAAATCCAAAATAACATTTTGTCTTTTAAATTTAAAAAAAAAAATGAGTTATTTCCCTTTGAACAGAAATCTACTAATTATAAGTATTTCATCAAAATCAAAAATCTAATTCTAGGTAAAGGGCTTTAACTGAACAAAGAGAAAAGCTAAAATCATGAAAATTGAACTTGACCTGTAACTTGTCATGATAAAACAATAAACCAAATATCAAATCAATATCTTCAAGCACGAAGAAAAAAAGTCTGGAAAACTGATTTGCTGGACTGACAGATGGACAGACAGACAGACAGACAGACATACGGACGGAGTGCAAACCTAAAGTCACCTTCGACTTCGTCGGTAGGGGAATAAAAAGAAAATCAATGAAAAAAGTGTGAATGATAACTTACTGATGGAATGTAGGGTGAGAAACAATGTCTGGTCCACCAGCATCAAGGAAACTGAAAAAAAAATATTAAAAAATTTATATAAAATGAGGCAATTAAAACAAACATTTTATGTATATATGTATTTGCTTTTATATTATTGTAAAACATCTCTTCATCGATTCTTTTATATGTGAATCAATTCATAAATGTTACTCAGACAATGCTAAAATGTGGATACAGAACATAACAATAATAGGGGGGTGGGGTAACTAACAGGAAAAAACATTAAAGCTGTAAGCAAGGAAGTCAAATAGAAGTATAAATCTATATATTTTTACAAAAACAAATACATAAATAATTCATAAATTATGAAATAACTAAAAAAAATAAAATAAAAATACAAAAAAAACAGTACATGATACAAATTACAACAAATATTTTTTTTTTTCAGATCTGTAAAAGATTCCCTTTTTACCATGTAATCCACTATTTTACGTCTTTTGTTTACATTTTATCTTCAATAATTTTATTTGTTACTATTATCTATTGTTTATGTTATTTCAGGTTCTTTCATATTCATTTTTAGTTTATTTAGGTCCTATCATATTCTCTTTTGTTTATTTGTTAATTTTCTTTTTTTATTTCAAATACATTTCAAATACATAATTTTGGGGTTGTTTTATGTTGTAATGTACATTATATTAACCCCCTTTTCTTACGTTTATAGCATTGCATAACTATATATAAGTATAAACATCATGAAGACTCCATAATATACTTTCACCACCAAAGGAAGGGACATAACTTAATTCTAGATTTTATGAGAGAAAAAAATGAAGAATTGGTGCTTTAATCCAGTTGCAATTATTACATGCACATCATGACTAGAAACTGTTAATACAATTTGAATATGGACCCTGCTTTGTACATGACTGACACAATGAGACAGTTAACCTGCTAGTTCACAAGGTAACAATAACAACATGTCACTCTACCTGGGCACAATTTTCTGACTCAGAGCCAACCTGTCTCTGATCTTATTCTTTAATGCCATGTGCTTAGCGAAGAAGCAGCAAATACTGATTTCAAGTTTTTTTGTTTGACCTAGCGGGGGTTCAAACCCACAACAGTCCACACATGAGCAACTGCCCTGAAACCAATGATTATTCAAATTAGAATATAAATATGGATGAATTTGTTTCCACCAATGGCAATGCTCACACAACAAACAGTATATACATGTACATGATAACTAAATCAATGTTTGAATTTGTAAAAACATATATGGTCTATGCAGAGTTCAACCTATATCCTGATGAAACAGGTGAATACAGAACAGTAATACAAAATTTGTTTAAAAGTCCATTTCAATTTCAATCCTGATAAAATGCACATGTAAAAGAAATGGTTTATCTACTCTACAACACAGTAACACCCTCTTAATTAGATACCCTAGCTATTTTAAAGTACCTAATAAAGAGTACAGATGTTTTCAATTGGTCATTAATGTGATAGCTAAAATTACAACTACACAATTATTTTGAATTATAATAAAGAAAAGATTAATTTTCTTTTCACTTAATTTCTAAATTTCATGCACTTGGAATATTGTAAAGAAATCTGAAATTTCAGGACTTTTGCACCAACTTTTTCTCTTTTTTTGGCTCAACTTTTGGGTAAAATATCAACAGGATAATAAATTTTGAAATAGCACAAAAGAAATTAACAAATTTTATTTAAAATGGTTATGTACATTTTTATTTAATATCTATATATAGCAAGACCATTTGATTTAAATCAAAATGCTTGTAAGCACTGAAGGGTAAAGATTGCTTTAATTTACCAGTGGGAAGTAAAATCAAACATTGCATTGTATTTAGCATTGGTTGTAGTTGATTCAACTGCAATTCTGGATAAGGGAAGATAACTCCAATTTATAAAAGATGACATCATTGATATTTTAAAACAGATATTAGATTCCTGCACCTTGCAAAAGTTATGTAATTTTCTTGACAAGTATAACATCATTTTGTGACTTGAATATCTGAGCATATATTACATTGATAAATTTCTGGAAATTTTCATGGATAGCATGTATAGAATGTTATAATCAATGCACTATATTTTGTGTATCTCAAAGATAGTGATAAACCTTGGACGATTTAGATATCAAGTCAGTACCATAGGGTTTTGATTGCATTTCATGCAATCTTTACCCAAAAATCAGAAATAAGGGGACCCACATGAAAGTACATGTATTTGTAAAAATATAGATATTGAAATTAGGCAGGTTGAATATTTTATTCTGTATCCATTAGTTTATATACATATACAGGCATCTTTACTTATGTTTACCCACTCTTCAAGATGCTTGTATGAATGAAAGGAGATGTGGGGTATACATCAATGAGACAACAGCAAAAGGACACAAAAACATACAAGTACATGATCTAATGTCTTCAATAATACACAAATTTCAAGTTAACCCATGACTAGGAAGGTTGAGAGTGGTATATATGTATATATCTGTGTTAAGCTACTAATGTTAGCTTATTGTGGATTCATTCATATTTTGGGGTACCAATTTTGGTAGATTTAGGAAAAATTGTACTTTGTGGATATTTGATTTCCTAAGGTTTTGCAAAATTCTGCACACATGCCTATGCTAAGTTTGTACTTCGTTGAAGAATTTTAGTTTGTGGTTCACCTTAACTCACACTATCCATGAAAATTGGTATCCCACGAATAATAATGAATCCAAAGTATGATAAATACATTAGTTTACCTACTCTTTAAGATACATATATGTGTAAAGATTTGTCATCATGGTAACACTAGGTCCTATAACAATACTGTTTCTCCATTGGGGATAGTTGTCTAGAAGCCTGTGAAGCAATCTATAGTCAGCAGCATGCTGGGAACCATTTATTTTATAACCAAATCCTCTCCAAACATCAGGCTCTGAAAAAATATGTCATTAAGTGACTTACTTCTTAAGATATGTGAATGAAGGCCAACTTCCTGTTGTGCTTGGTCCAATCACAATACTGTTTTTCCATTGTGAATATTGATTAAGAATATTGTGAAGTAGTCTATAGTCATTAGCATGCTGAGAGGCATTGATTTTATACCCAATATTGCTCCATGCATCAGGTTCTACAAAATACATAATGTACATATATGTTCTTATTCTGCAAACATTTGATACTTTGGATTTGTGATACTGGTACCTTATTTCAAGAGCCAAATGTGCAAATGGTGAACAAAATAAGATTCAATATTATGCAGTAGTACTGCTACCACCAGTTCAAAGCCACCCCTGGTGGACTATATAATTAGCCTGTGTGTTAATACAGCCATTGTATTTCTTTGATTTTTACAACTGAATAATTAAATTACATGTATGTTTCATTGTAATATGTTACTTTGATTAGCTGACAGCAATCTCGTGTCATTCTGAAGTAAACCTTCATTTCAAAATGAAATGTAACATCCATGATGACACAAGCTTCCACAATAAAGTGCACAGGTAAATAAAAGAAAAACTTGATATAAATCGTGTTTTCATGATCCTAGCAAAAAAATGTAATTATAAGTATTGAATGCTTCTTTTAGTAATTCTATAGGGTTGTAAAAGCGTTGACCATGCGCACATTTGTAGAATGAAGTGCTTCCGCGCTTATATAAATTTAAAAAAGAAGCATTCAATTCTTAAATAATTTGCTTTAACAAAAAATTCTAGATTTTATAAAGATGTACAGGTCTTCAGCTGGTTTAAAAATCCTTTATTTTTATTTTCCGCTTCAAGAATTTGGGATTCCAAATACTAGGTTTGAAAAACAAACTGGTGAAAAGTTTATTTTCTAAATGTCAGAGTCTTCTAAGGATGAAATGTGTCACCTGCTGTCTCCAAATAAAACAAGGAACAATGGTGAAGTCTGTTGATATTTTGGTATGAGAAATCCCCAAAATACAAAAATTTAATTGGCAGATGTGCAGCTTACTTTAATGTAAAGGAATCTGTGGAAATTTGGTAGAATTCTATCATACCTTTTTCAAGGAACTGTGGATTAACAAACTGATATAAACAGAAATGGCTTGGTCCATGTTTCTGTTTTGGAAACAACAACAAATCAGTCAGATCAAGAATTTAATTAGCAAGTGCTGTAGAAGAATCTTTGCATTTTTTTTAAAATTCTGTTGAACTGTTGTCAGGGAATTAAAAATATAGGACAACAGATCCCTAATGTACAGCTTGGCTGTTAGGTGACAACATTAAGCTCAATTTTAGTCAAAATCAGCCATGTAAGCATGTGGCTACAAAAGAAAATAAGACTTTAAAATTTGGTGAGTATGAAGCCCTTTTCTGGATATACCTTCTTAAGGAATTTCAACTCAAATATTTTAACATAAACATAATTGAATAGTTGAGGAGCTATATAACCAAAGAGTAGCCAAATCCAAGCAAGAAGAATTCTCCAACAAACAAATAATAAAAAAATAATAATACATGTAGTATTTGCATATGTTCCATAGTTTCTTTAATAACAATTGAAATATTGCAGTAAGCAAAAACTTCAAAATAATGTTTGCGTTTTGATTTTATTTCTAAATAATTACCATTTCCAAGTTCCCATCCAGCAATTTTATATCCTTTCTGTGTTGTGTAGTCCATGAGCAATTTAGCATTATCTGGAAGCCACAGCCCATTCTGCCTTAAAAGGCCATTCAAATCAAATATGAGATCCCATCCTACCATCTCTACAAAATGGTTCAGCTCATCCCACTGCTTACCTGTATACAAATACAAATGTATATGCCCTTTATTTTATCATTTTGCACAGTGATGACTTGACTGGTTTTTCTATAGCAGTTGGTTAAAAATTCTGACATGTTGAAGAGTTTGATTTGATGAAACAAATTGCAATTTGGTCAGAATTTTGATTGAACTTCAAGGTGGAGAGAAACACGTATAATCAGGTTACTGTTACAGCAAATAACACATAAAAAGTTGGTAGTAAATGATTCAAATGGTGTTTTATAGTTTAAACAAGTCATTTTATCATCTAAAGAACCATTGCTTTCCTAAAAATCAAAAATATGTCCCATCTTAAAATAATCAGAGTAATGACATGGAGTTTTGGTTTTCAATGCTTTTCAACTTTGTAATTGATTAGGTCTCCTACTTGTTTTGCTTTCGAGCACCACTACGAATTAATTATTCTAATGTAGACTTAATGTGCATCTGACATGCTAATTAATAAACCTTGTGTCTGTGATAAATTTTTACATAGGAATTTTGTGTGACCTTCAACAATTGTCAATAACTTTTATATCTCTTTTTTCAAACTCATGTTGCTAAATGAATTTTTAATGACCATCAACAATTGTCTATAACTTTTGAATATCTTTATCAAAACACATGTAGCTGAGTGAACTTTTTTGTGACTTCAATACTCCTACATCCAATGGTAGAAATGCCATCAATATAAGCATTAGTTTAGACATCACTTGATTAATTACCTGACATGGTAAAATTTTTTAATTTCTGAATTTCAAATGCATCAGTAAGCTTATCTTCATATTGAATGTTTCTCTTTGCATATGGACTGAATTTTAGATATTCCTCTTCTGATCTTTGAATGTTTTTGTCTCTCTGTACCCCAGGATTGAATTGTAAAAAGTCTGCTGATGATCCACCTACACGAAGATAACATGGTGCTAAACCTCGAGCTAGGCGCTGTATCTTTGGAGAACTTAAACAAAATAAATTCAAAGTGGTTAATGATGTTAAAATTGACAAAACTTAAAGCCACAAAATGAAACAATTTTGATACAACTGTCTGTTTATAGCTGTATCCAAGCAGAATCACTAAGGATTTTATTATTTGTATATACTCAATGATAATATACTTAAACATGTTGCCTAGTTTGCCAGATTTGTGCTGTATTTTTGGTAATGTTTACATAAGTTCAATGTTGTTGAGTTTATAATAATAATAATAATTCTTTATTTAAAATAATCTTTGTGGTAGGATAACCATGGGTCTTTTAATTCAAGATCCATATCTGGTAACTTTGATCTTGAAACTGAGGTGGAGGTCAAACATCAATTTGACATTCCAGATTTTGACATTTGCTATAACTTCATACTGGCGCATGATAAAGACATTAGGTCTTTTGTATTAGGTTGGATGACATATGACCTTGACAAAGGTCAACCAGAAAGTGACCTCTTGTAAACTGTAAGTCACCATTTTAAAACTAATTTCATATAAAAGTACATGTACCTAGATACCACAAATATTTAGAATCAGTGTGAATTAACCTATCACATGAAACCTGAAGTGGCATATTTAAACTAGAGGTAGCAAATTATCTCCATTTTTTCAAGAAAAGTATGTAGAAATTATATATTTTTTGAAGTAATGTATCATATAAGCTATCATATGAAACCAAGAGTGGCATTTTGTAAAACTGTAAGGAACTAGAAACATATATATATTTTTGGAGTCAGTAAAAAGTAAACTATCAGTTGACACAAGATGTTACTTTTATAAACAGGTATTAGATGATCATCTCTCTTATTTAGAAATAAAAGAACTGCAAACTATACATCTTTGAAATCTGTGATTTTCTGACTCTGTTTTTTTATACACAGGTTACTATTTTGTACTTAATAAAAAGTTTTTGAATATATATCTGTATAATAGTTCATTTAAACCTTAAATATTGACATGTGTGATGGAAAGACCTTCAATTGTTCTCTGAATAATTGGTTTTTAATTTCTCTTAATATTTCTGCCATAATCATGTTATTTATACCTCAGTGAATGTTGTCAGATTGTACCATATTTAATGTAACATATATGCCAAGATTTAAAAGTTAACCAATTTTCCTGCATCTATTATTATAGTATATGGTATTAAATACCTGAAGTTTAATGTTGCCCAATTTGCCTGTATTTGTGCTGTATCTATGGTAACACTTAGGAATCTGTCTGGGATCGTCTGTATAACATTGTCTGTATCAATAAACACTTTAGTTTTTATTGCATTTGAGTAAGCAATATATAGTAAATACCATACGGTTATCACACACACTTGAGAATCCATAGGCTTTACTTTTCCTGAAAGACACAATTTGACATTTTTAATTCTTTTTTCAGGTATAATTTTACCCTGTTTAATGACCATATGAAATTTCAAGACATCAACTACAAATCTCCTCTTAAGAAATTAAGTTCTATTCTACCTTTTTGTTTTAGGGTTTTTTTCAGAAAATGTGCTGAAAATAACATGTATAAAGTGTAAGTAGCTTTTGATAGTTGTTCACATGTTCTTTGATTTTTTATGATTTTGGCAATTATACAAAGCTCTTTTCTTTTTGTGCTTGATAGTTGATTAAGGCACATATTGAGTTTAAAATATTTATACAGATGCAAAAAATCAATGTTTGTTTTATAATGTATACCTTTCTAACATCATGAACATTGCAGGAGGTAATAAATTGAAATTACAAATAACAAAAATTTGTAAGGGGTTCCACAGAACCCTGTGTCTTTCCTACTATTGCTGCTGTCAGTGTAAAAGTGTAATGTTGACTTAAAAAGTGAGTCCATTTATCAGAAAAATACAGAATGTTAAAAAAGATTCCAACTTTCTCTTTAGATGCTATTTCTTGGTCTTGAAGATTAGCTTCTGTCCAAGTTTCATAACAATCCATGAAGGTTAACAAACTTATCATGTCAAAAAAAATTAATCCCAGACTGTCAGTAAATGTAAACTGTAAAAAAAATCCAGAAAATACTGAAATTGAAAATATATTTTCAAAAGTCACAGTACTCCAAACATTATCTCTTAATTATAAAAAAGTTTCATAAAATTCTATGAAGGTTTGACAAAGTATTTGATGTGTAACAAACTTTAACCCTATACTGTATCTATTTGTTAAATGTAAAAAAAATAAGTCCATTTATCAGTAAATTATGGAAAAATGAAAATAAATGTTTTCAAAATTTTGCTCTTGATACTGTATTTTTGTCATAAACAAGCTTCTGTCCAAATTTCATTTAATTCCATGTAGGTTTGACAAAGTTATTGATGTCCAAAAACACTTTAACCACAGACTGAACCTAAATGTTGATACCGCCGATGCCGGAATATAGGATCGCTATGTCCTGCTTTAGACTCATCAAAAATCAATTTATCTGACAAGGGAGACAACTCGTTTGTTTTATCAAGTGCGATTATATGACACGCTAAAGTGCGTTGGTATAATGCGCTAAAGTGTGATGGTATAGCTCGCTAAAGTGCGATGGTGTAACGGAAATGGTGTTCAGGCAATGGTTTCTGTTTTTTGCTGTGTTTCTGTTAGTTTTTCGTTTTTTTGTTTAATTTATAAATCAAGCCGTTGTCTTTCTCTTTTGAATTGTTTTACACTGGTCATTGTGTGGCCCTATATAACTTCCTATGCGACGTTGGCCAAAACTCCATGTTGAAGGCCATTAGGTTATTAGTTGCAAACATCAACGACATTTGGTGTTGGGTGAATAGTTGTCTCATTGAAAATGATACATCTTCTTTTTATTTAATGTACAATAGTTATTAAAAAAGTGAAATGGTTACATTCCAGAAGCCAATATGTACTTTTTGAACCTGTTTCAAGCCAGGAACCTGTAATTCAGTGGTAATCGTTTGTTGCTGTATTTATATTTGTTTTTTGTTTATTGTTTTGTATATAAGTCAGGCCGTTATTTTTCTTGTTTGAATTATTTTACACTGGTCGTTTTGAGGCCCTTTTGTAAACACAAATTAGCCAAATCAAGTTAACCACTTCCAGCACCAACCAAAACTTCCTGATGGGATCATTTGTTTTTTCCTTTTTTCTTTTTCTTTGTCTTATAAAAACAATGGACAAATATTCTGGTTTTCCAGCAGGTCCATTTTGCTAACGTTGCTAACTTTCTTACTTTCATGAACAAACGCACATTCGTGAAAAAACGCACTTTAGCGTATTGAGGCATCGGACTTTAGCGTGTTCTGTTGAACAGCACACACCTCAAATTTTGGCGTATCAAACCATCGCACCTTAGTGTTGACCATTGCACTTTAGCGTGACCATCGCGTTTTAGCACCCCCATCACACTGTAGTGTCCTACATATATATACCCATCAGACACAGGCACTTGTATTTATCAATGGGAAGGTCCACTATCCATATATATAATGTCGGTAGCTAACAAATGTCACTGCTTTGGAAGCTTATTATTACCATTAACTTAATGTAAAAAAAAATATGACCTTATATGAATCATTTCATTGAATGTTTTCCTTGAATGTGATACAAATGTAACATACCCCCTCAGTGTTCCTCTCCATGACAATCTTACTAATATTAACTAAACCATGGTGACATCTTGACCAGCATGCAAAACTTCAAGTGTTTATTAAACATGTTAAACTGGACATTTCTTAAAATTTTTGTGGCAAAATATTTTAATTTTTTTTTAGACGAAATTTTCCCACTTTTTCATGAAATGTCAAATGACAGCACATATCATTGATTTTAAAACTCTATAGATTATTATCTGAATGAATGTTCAAATGTTGAAGGATTTTTACATAGGCAGTATTGCAACATTGGTGAAATCAGTTCGAATTTGTTATTCCATCTCTCTGCTTCCAACTTCAACTTCCCGTCTTTCTACTTAGGGACGATAACACGCGGGGGAAGGAAACGAGATTTACATCCTGAAAATTTTGTCCTGAATATTGAACTGATGTGTAAACCATGTCCACCCAGAAAGATTTATCGATAACAGAATTCTGCTGCGAAATGCCTAAAATTGAACTCCATGCACACATAAATGGATCAATTAGTGAAACAACAATGAAGAAATTATTGAAAAAGAAAAATCGTGAGGGAGATAAGTTGTCATTTCAGAAAGACCAGATTGCAACATTGGATGACTGTTTTCAAATGTTCAAATTGATACACCAAGTGTCCGATAATACAGAAGCAGCTTATACAATAACTTATGATGTTATTCATGAATTTGCAGCAGAGAATGTAAAATATCTTGAACTTAGAAGTACACCAAGAGAAGTTAAAGCAACAGGCATGACAAAGTTGGGATATGTTGAGGCTGTGATTAAAGCTATACAAGACTGTAATGACCTGGACATAATTGTTAAGTTTATTTTAGCTGTGGATAGGAGAAATGGTATAGATGTAGCAAAAGAAACAGTGGAATTAGCCGCTAAATATAAAACTTTAAGTAATGGAATTGTCATTGGGGTGGATTTAAGTGGTGATCCTACTGTAGGAGATGCAAGAGACTATATTCCATTGTTCGAGCAGGCTAAACAAGCAGGATTAAAACTAGCACTCCATTTAGCCGAGGTTCCAAATATTGAAGAGACACTGGCCATGCTAAAATTACCACCAAATAGAATAGGTCATGGTACATGTTTGCTCCCAGATGTTGGAGGATCAGATGAATTGACAGACTATGTGTATACACATAAAATACCTCTAGAACTGTGTCTAACATCAAATGTTATTGGCCAAACTGTTCCCAACTTTGACAACCATCATTTTTTAAACTGGTACCAGAGAAATCATCCATGTGTGATTTGTACAGATGATAAAGGTGTATTTAATACTACTCTGTCAGAGGAATATCAGATTGCAGCTAAAACATTTGATCTTAGTGTGGATAAAATTTGGCAACTTTCTTTTGGAAGCATTGACCATATTTTTGCTGACGAGGAAATTAAGGAACAATTAAGACTGAAGTTTTTACAATTTAGACCATTATAAACCTTAGTTATGTTCATGATGTTAGTGTAAATATGTTAAAATGTTGTAAACAGGGATTATTAATTACCAGAAACTCAGAAGAATGTGTATAAGTAGATCAAAGTTTACAAATGTAGTTATGCATCAAATAAATATATTACACTTTTTTTTTAAACTTAATTTCCAACATAAAAAAAAGAGAAGATTGAACTCTTCATGTATATGTCTTCTGCATTTCTAACATGGCTAATATAAAAATCTTGCACATAAAAAGTGCATATATGCATGAATTTAGCAAAATTCTTGGAGGAGTCAATTTTGAAAATTAAAGTGTGTTCCATTTGTATTAGATACTTGTATTCCCTCTTGTTCTGAAATCAGTCCAGCAGAACAACTTCAACAAGGGCAAAAGAATAAAATTTTACACAAGCACATCCTGATCTTTATAAGAACATTGATGAATGCAAGGATCAGATATCTATTCCATAAAATATTACATTAAAACCTTGCAAACTTGACTGTTGACAACAAAACTTATCACGAATGATGCAAAAAATGTACTTCTAGCCAAGTGTTAAATTGCCTTTATTAATGAAACTTATATTAATTTTTTGTAGGTTTTTAAACTTTCACCTTAAAATTATGCCTAACTGGCATCAAATTGTGCATGATCTATTGTAGGACTAAATTATCTGATCTAAAAAATTCTAGACCAATCATTTAACCATGCATTACAGTTTACATGTATATTTGTCTTGAATTCACAGTGATGCACAAGTTTTTGTCTCATTTTGAAGGCTTCACTTTGACTTTCGAGATGAAGGACAGCAATACAAGTGCTATTCCTTAGCTGTGGATTTTCAAAGTGTCTGTAAGGATTTGTGACATGAATTTACACACAATATCCTCTTTTCCCATTTCCCCATTATTTTTTATTGTATACATGTAGTTATACAATATTTCCTGCAGAATGTAACAAAAAGTTATTGTGCAATATTCTAGGATATTACACATGCAAATGTAGCCTCAAGTTATCAACCTTATCAGTGACAATAATATGTTTGAAAAAGTTTTTCAAGCTTTGCTATACAGTAAAAGAGTTATTGCATAGATAGTGGTGAATATTATCCATGGTAGAATATATAAAACATTATATATTACACGCAAAAATAGATTAAATGTTCAATTTATTAATTGATGCTGAATGTCCTGTGGAAGTAAATATATGCATGTTAGAACAATAACATACTAATGTGATATAATCCTGAAACATATGGTTTACTATTCAAACAAACTTAGCTAAATGTTTAAACTGCTTGCACACAAGATGACAAGTCTACAGAAAGTCATTGCAAAATACACAGACACATTACTCTTACTCCTCGAAGACCTGTAATTTTTTACCTGGTGGAGGGGGTGTGCTCATCCTTTATGGAATCAATGCATAGTAATTTACTTGTCAATTGGACATACATTTTCATCATCTGATAAGATGTCTATAAAAACTTTGCACCACTCCATACATTTTTAATCAATTTAAATGATCCCATATGGATAACATCTGTATCTGCTAAAACTTTTATTGACATATGTTGCAGTCCTTTTACATCTATCTAAATAAGGTGTCACAGATTGTATTATTGAAATATGGGAAAGAGTCATGAATTTCTTATATGAGGTGGGATTTTTGCACAACTTCAAGCCTGTACCAAAACTTGTATGTTGAGGACCCTTTCCCATGTCATTCTTTTCTCTTATATTCCTAGCTGACTTTTCTTTTCTCCTAATTAACTTTTCACTTGATTAACTCCTAAGGACTGTTAGCTCTAGGGGGAAGCAAATACCACTTCTAAAGCTACGGTCCCCCATCCTGAGGAGGGCATACTGTCAGCTTAGGTACCATGTTTTGAATGGATAGATTTACAGTTAGACAAAATTGTTTAAGATGCTGACTTAAAATAACAATCTAATGTACCGATGTTGTTGACATGATATCAAATGAACAAAAAAAAATTACAATTTTAAGACACAAGATAATGCAAAACCTTAACCTAGTTATATGACTCTCCTATACCAACCTGTTATCTTGTACAAGGTTTCCAGTCAATATAATCAACCTATTACCACAATTTGAAATTCAATTAACATAAAAGCATAAACAACCATCGACAATTGAAGATATATTTTTATTTCAAATAATAATAGAAAATATTCCCTAAAGTGATAGGTCAATAAATAATCTATAAAACATATGTTGTATAAAATATAAATTTGGAAATTGCAAAAAAAAAGAATAGCAAACAGTTATACATGCATAAGACGAAAAGTAATTTGTAGTTAGAATTTGGAAACCTCAAAGAGTAAATGACTTTGAAATTAAGTATTTTTTGCATTCAAATTTTTAGTTTTCAAACAACCCTGCATAAGAGAAATTTATAGCATTGGTCTGTTTATGCTGATAGTAAATAAATGATATTTTTAACATGGGTCTGTATACAGAGGATTTGTTTCTTGGCATAGAAAATTATGTTAGAATATCATCCAGCATTTAGCATTCAAGAAATAAAGAAAATATTACAATCAAAACTTAATACAAGTTGTATCAAAATACTGTCAAATGGGAGATAACTACAACAAAACATAATACAAGGTGTATCTAAATACTGCCAAAGGGGAGATAACTATAACAAAACTCTTGATATGAAACAGATTTTTTAAAATAATATTTCTAAGGATTAAAGAAAAATGCTAATAATGACAATAAACTTCTTTATGCAATTTTTTCTTTCAAATTATTTCCATAAAAATATCTGGAATGACACAGAAACTAAAGTGGTCTGCACAAAAAGGTGATGACCAGTTATTAAGACAATACAATAACAATAGATCTCTGATAAAATGTGTCTGTCTTATACAAAAAGACTAGATCTGAGTAAATAGACCATAATATGGGCACAGTAAATATCTGAATGTTATGCATAGGAAAATATCACAAACATTACAACACACAAAGTATGTCAAACTAACTGCCATACATTTTATCGATTGAAAAATTCATTGAATATGGTATACAATACATCTTAAAATATACAATACATGTAGTACAGAACACGGAATATTAAGTACAAAAATTGAATATGTAGAAATTTAAAATTACAAAAGAATTGTTTGAACATGATGGTTTGATTGAAGGGTATTGGCTATCTAATTTTCAATATCTATTGTTTATTACACTCCAGTTACTGTATTTGTATGTAACATAATATACATCTAAAGGGAATGGAACAATATTGCAACAATTCAATTAACTGTCATTGTACTGCATATGGGATGCAAAAACACATAAAAAAAAGTAAACAAAAACAATGCTGGAAAAGTAATCAGATGTTCTCAAAATTTTACATGATAAGTATATATCTGATAGAACAAAATATTAATTTGGTCGAATTGAAGGGGTATTAGAAATAAATATGTACTAGCTCAAAATGAAAGGAAGAAAAGCATTAATTGGACTGTAACATTAAAAAGGTGTATAACAGTTCTGAATTGTAAGAGTTGCCAATTGAAAAAATAACTTCAACTGTTACAAATTTGTAAAAAATACTGATTTTTTAATAGGGACAATATGAAGACATTAGGCTGATATAATCAATCTAATTTTTGAAGTGCTATAAGCTCTGTCTGTAACTGCCAATTGGAAAGGACTATAAAAGTCCTAAGCTTAACAGTTGTTAAATATTTTATTGAATACTAATTCTTAAATAATAAACAAACTAATATTGCAAATTAAGTGGTTTTGTTTCAGATGGAAGAACTTAAGAGATGAATGGATCATGGATTTGATATGCAAAATGACAAACTGTTCATATTTAGTAGTTACTACAAAAATGAAAGTATTATTATAGAACATCAAACAAGTTTTCAGAGGCCGATCCAGGATTTTAGAATAGGGGGCGCAAACTTAAATTTTTTTAAAATAAAAATTCTTTATTAAGCTGAGGACAACCCATGCTTTGCAAATTTCAGGGGGGGGGGGGGGGGGGGGGGGCACACGCCCCTACCTGAATCCACCCCTGGTTTTAATGTTTCCTTTGAGCCAATCAATATTCTGTAGTGAATTACTTTTACATTAAACATTAAAGCATATGAAAAAAAAATATTGGTTATAAAAATTAGCTTCAAATCAACAATAACAAAGAACCATGAACATAAATAAACATTTGTATAAACATGTTGCATTGAGCACCACTGAAATGCAGTATACAATACTTCATCCTGTTTCAGCTTCAGTTCTTATTTCTCCTTATTTTCCTCTTTCTGAAAAAATTCCTTTGATTCAGAAAAATGGTACCATGAACCTAAACAACTATACTGTTTAATATGATGCTGTACAGAAAAACATTGGCAGCCAAATTATCATTTTAATTGCAATCTCAGGAAAACCTTTCTTAAACTGTCATCGGATGTAAGTTATAAATCTTTCTTTAATACATCTGATGCAACTGCAACGTTTTAGCTTAACATCTGTTCAAGTTGTGTTTTTATTTTCATCAACTGCTCACTTTACAAGCTGCAACATTAGCTTCAGGTATAACAATGAACCCAAAAGACTGTTGAGGGAATGTAAAGTTAGAAGTAACAACTTCAGGGTAGTCCATACTTGGTAATGAAAAATCAGGATTCAGGCTCAAAGTTCTACCATTTAAAGCAACTGTTCTGTAAATAGAAAAAAAAATCACTGATAATTTGTGATGGTATAAAAATTGCCAAATTGACATTAAATTTATGTTTCTTAATTTGAAAAGGGTATTTTATTCTAATTATTTTCTTGGATCGTAATTGTTTGATTGTGCAGTAAAGAATGAAAATTCTGGAAAGGTTTTCAATGACTTGTTGACATATTTGGCTACAAAGGGCACAAATCAAATACAAAGAAATATACAAGATTCACAAAGATTTTTCTGACTGAAATCAAATTCTTTGTTTATTCTTTAAAAATGGGTCATGTTTCAAATGACTGGGTTACAATATTTGTGACTGATCAATGTAGAATGTTTACAATCTTCCTGTGAAGTTTCATGGAAATGGGTTGAAGACTGTGGGAGAAGTTGATTACACAAAACTTGTACCCTCTTTCATTAATCTTGCTGACGATTGACTAAGTTCCCAAGTCTGGAAAAATGAGAAAAAATTCCTAAAGAGATTCCATAATAGCAGGTGCACAACTTCAACATATGTACAATCTTCGTGTGAATTTTCCTGTTGACCCACCCGCCTGACATCACCATACTATAAGCCGGTTTTGGACTTTGTCCAGTCCAACCAAAAATGATTGAAATCATGTCATTCATGACTGACAATTAAAAGGCAGTTGAGATGACATACTGATTTAAATCCATAAAACACACAAACATTGCTTTAATTTCAGCTCAAGTAACCAGGTTCACATTCATGTTTAAAATCATTACAAATTACCAGCTTTTCTGTTGAGGTTCCCCCTTAAGGTCACAGGTCCTTTTAAATGAGACCAGTTCACAAGGTCTGATTTGACCATGTTGGAGCCCTCTTTTTTGACAAGTTGATTTTTCCCATGTTCTGATTTTTCTTGTTATTAAGATAGCAGAGAAACCCTTATCTCTTAAGGTAAAAATCTACTGAGACCTAAGGCTATCTACACCAACAGGTTCTAACTTACTGAGACTTAAGGCTAATATATACACCAACAGATTCTAACTTACTGAGACTTAAGGCTATCTACACCAACATGTTCTAACTTACTGAGATTTAAGGCTATCTACACCAATGGGTTCTAACTTACTGAGACTTAAGGCAATCTACACCAACGGGTTCTAACTTACTGAGACCTAAGGCTATCTACACCAACAGGTTCTAATTTACTGTGACCTAAGGCTATATACACCAACAGGTTCTAACTTACTGAGACTTAAGGCTATCTACACCAATGGGTTCTAATTTACTGAGACTTAAGGCTATCTACTCCAACAGGTTCTAACTTACTGAGACCTAAGGCTATATACACCAACAGGTTCTAACTTACTGAGACTTAAGGCTATCTACACCAACAGGTTCTAACTTACTGAGACTTAAGGCTATCTACACCAACGGGTTCTAACTTACTGAGACTTAAGGCTATCTACACCAACGGGTTCTAACTTACTGAGACTTAAGGCAATCTACACCAACGGGTTCTAACTTACTGAGACTTAAGGCTATCTACACCAACAGGTTCTAACTTACTGAGACTTAAGGCTATCTACACCAACAGGTTCTAACTTACTGAGACGTAAGGCTATATACACCAACAGATTCTAACTTACTGAGACTTAAGGCTATATACACCAACAGGTCCTAACCTACTGAGACTTAAGGCTATCTACACCAACAGGTTCTAACTTACTGAGACCTAAGGCTATATACACCAACAGGTTCTAACTTACTGAGACTTAAGGCTATCTACACCAACAGGTTCTAACTTACTGAGACTTAAGGCTATCTTCACCAACAGGTTCTAACTTACTGAGACTTAAGGCTATCTACACCAACAGGTTCTAACTTACTGAGACTTAAGGTTATCTACACCAACAGGTTCTAACTTACTGAGACTTAAGGCTATATACACCAACAGGTTCTAACTTACTGAGACTTAAGGCTATCTACACCAACAGGTTCTAACAAGTATAAGTGAAGTTTAACATCTGGTTTAAACTGTGTGAAGACAACTGTTGTAGGTTCTGGTCTAAGGTTCATACCATATACTGTAATACTACCTGGCTTATAATCACTTCTACAAAATAGAGAAAGACCAGGAAAAGTTAAACCATGATGACATATAATATACAAAAAGTTATGACAGCTTATCCTGGACTTCTGGACCATATTTTTTTTAAAAAAGATTTAATGTCTAAAAAATTTCCACATATATGACAGAAATTAATGTTTGTCCTGCTTCAACATTTCCTTTCTGTAGCATCTGAGTTCACTCCCAGTTTTTGGTTGGGTTCATGTTGCTCAGTCTTTCTGTCTTTTCATCGTTATTCTTTTTGTCCATGGTGATGTCTGTTTTATATTGGACTTATGATTTTTGTCCATGGTGTTGTCTGTTTTATATTGGACTTATGATTTTTGTCCATGGTGTTGTCTGTTTTATATTGGACTTATGATTTTTGTCCATTGTGATGTCTGTTTTATATTGGACTTATGATTTTTGTCAATGGTGATGTCTGTTTTATATTGGACTTATGATTTTTGTCCATGGTGATGTCTGTTTTATATTGGACTTATGATTTTTGTCCATGGTGTTGTGTGTTTTATATTGGACTTATGATTTTTGTCCATGGTGTTGTCTGTTTTATATTGGACTTATGATTTTTGTCCATGGTGTTGTCTGTTTTATATTGGACTTATGATTTTTGTCCATGGTGTTGTCTGTTTTATATTGGACTTATGATTTTTGTCCATGGTGTTGTCTGTTTTATATTGGACTTATGATTTTTGTCCATGGTGATGTCTGTTTTATATTGGACTTATGATTTTTGTCCATGGTGTTGTCTGTTTTATATTGGACTTATGATTTTTGTCCATGGTGATGTCTGTTTTATATTGGACTTGTGATTTTTGTCCATGGTGTTGTCTGTTTTATATTGGACTTATGATTTTTGATTGCTTCCTTTGTATCTTCACTCTTTCAAAGTTTAAAGTATGAGTAAGTTTAGATTGTAAGTCGGGAAATTTTCTACAAGATAACAGAATAAAGAGCTGTGCCATGAGCCCATGCTACGCCCATCTCCCTTTTAGCTCGTCTTTATGCTTTAAATGAATTTATATGATCAACTAGAAATACTGTGAGAACTGTTCAAATAGACCCCCTCCCCCAAAAAAAAGACATGCACACACAGTGGTACCTAAAGAAACAAAATTAAATAATTTGGCACTATTTAGGTTACCTCAAGTTTATCTAAGTTTGGGGCCTTGATTATTCATCTATACACTTCTATCTTGTTCACAACACCATTTTTGAAAGAATTAAATTCTATATACTCGAAAACCAAATAAAGCGTGAAAAATGGAAGTTATCAACAATTTTTCAACAAATAAAGTTCTATAACTCTGCAATGTCATATAAGAAATTTATAAAAAGCAAAAAGGGGCTTATTTCAATAAATATAAACAGACAGACAGATGGACAACGGTATACCATAATACCTCCTGTCTTAGACAGCTGTATAAAAATGTATGTTCATTCTGCTGCAATTGGGAAAGTTTCAAAAATATCTTCTTAGTTTAAAACGTGAAATTTTTTAACTGCACAGTAAATTAAGGAAGGTGTTAAAAACAACATATAAAATTAAATAAACAGTCGAAGTATCCTTACAAATGACCCTCCATTCGAATTCCCAAAACATCTTTCAAATTGATCCACTATCCTACATGTAAAACTAACCTTAGAGTATTAGTACAGTGAGTATACATTCTAACATATCCTTTGTTATCATCCATTGTCACATTAAACACAGACCTTCCTACTAACTTCTTGTACAGGTAAGACAACCAAAAATCCTGCAAAATCAAGTTCATTTCTTTGTTATTATAGTGTACCGAAAATCAACAATGGAGTGTGTATCTTACTAACAGTGATGCACATTTAATTCTGTTAGTGGATCATTTTGGAGTGAATTGATTTCAAATTACAATCAATTTAAATATTGCATATGAGGAATGTTTAATCGAATTTAAATAATACTTAATATGAAATCAACCAAAAATATACTTTAAAACTAGTCTTTTACTCCATCTTGAAACAATTAAAGAATGAAAAAGCAATGAAAAAATTGTGCACTCTACTACAGGTAATAGTCCATAAATAAATTGGCATTAGCTTTATCATAAGAATCAAATAGCAATGAAAATATGAACAGTTCTTTCGGATTTACACATGCATGTAAACAAAGATCAAATTTAAAGTAATTCATCGGTTGCCACGGCAATTAATATGTGGCCACCCAATAACAATAATATCAATGCTTTAGAAAAATGAGCAAATATTTATTTCTTGTTCAATTTTTTAAGAACATTTTATAACAGTCAGAAATTTGTACACAATTACTCTATACATTTATACCAGAGCAATGTCAAAGTACTTTCACCTGCACTTTTAAAAGAGAATCACTATTTTTCTTGATATTGTAATTCCAAGGTTGACTTTTCATTAATCTTTAGGACTGTTTTTTTACTTTTTTATGTTACTCCTCTAAAAATTTCTTCTTTTTTTTTTATATTTGAAATTTACATTTGTTAGAGATACATAAAGTACCGGTATCTTATCCCGGCCTTGTTAAGGTTAGTATATAGCATTTCAGTGATAAGGTAAGTAATTGTTAGTACACAATATACAGTTTAGCTAATAAATAATATGCAACAGATTAAAAAGAAAGTAATATGATATATTATAAATTTTAGTTTAAGAAGATAAATTAATTTTTTCTGCAACCAAATTGTAGAAGTTTTCATATTTGCCTTCTTTATTTGTCAATATTTTGTAATTTTGGAGAAGTTCATTTTCAAAAATTTCAAGCACATTAATTTGTTTTGTTTTCTGCTAGGATACATAATATATTCTATATAGTAACAAGAGTGCCCATGCTGAAATCTCTCGCCTGCTTTACTGATCATTGATTTTGATTTTATGTTGATAGTCCTAAATATAAAGCTTTACTACAAGTATCACATATAAACTTAACATGATCCAAGAAAATGAGGCCAAGGTCAGATAAACCAAACCAGAAATACATGTACACTTTACAATCATTCCATACACAAACAAACTTAACCAGGAAAATTTAACATTGACCAATGAACCATGAAAATGAGGTCAAGGTCAGATGAACCATGCCAGACATGTACACCTTACAATCAATCTATGCATTAAATATTGTTGACCTATTACTTATAGTACCTAAAAAACAAACTTAACTATGAAAATTTAACAATGACCAATGAACCATGAAAATGAGGTCAAGGTCAGATAATACCTGCCAGACAGACATATACACCTTACAATCATTCCATACACCAAATATAGATGACCTATTGCTTACAAAGAAAAACAGACCAAAACACAAAAAACTTAACACTGAGCAATGAACCGTGAAAATGAGGTCAAGGTCAAATAAAACCTACCAGACTGACATGTACATTGTAAAATACTTCCATACACCAAATATAGTTGACCTACTGCATACAGTATTAGAAAAAAAGACCAAAACACAAAAACTTAACTTTAACCACTGAACCACGAAAATGAGGTAAAGGTCAGATGACACCTGCCAGTTGGACAGACGGAAGCTTCATAACATAAGGCATCTATATACAAAGTATGGAGCATCCAGGTCTTCCACCTTCTAAAATATAAAGCTTTTAAGTAGTTAGTTAACGCCGCCACCACCGTTGCCGGATCACTATCCCTATGTAGAGCTTTCTGCGACAGAAGCTCCACAAAAAGTATAATTGTTAGAAAATTGTTAATATTTTAATAATTTGTATCGTTTATCTTATATCAATACAAAAGTGATGCATATTATATTATATATGATGTCCTATTTTAAGTTTATCTAGTATTAGTTTTATTTGATCCCAAAACAATTTCAGATATTTGCATGTCAAAAAGTAATGTTCATAATCTTCAATGACATTACATATATTACATAAAGGAGTTTTAGTTATTTTCCAAGAGAAAAGTAATTGTTTGGTTGGTAAAATGTAATGTAGAAATTTCCATCTCAACATTTTCAATTTATTATCTTGGATATAGTTAAAGATAAAGTACAACATTTGTTGTCTTTTCCTTATATTGTTATCTAAATTAGTATTCTGTCCCATTTTTGAAATCCTATTGCCTTCTCATAATATGTATTTAAAAGGGAGATGTAAATATCTTTGGAGGAAATTGTTTTTACTGATACCATTTTTCCTTTTCTATCTTGAAATTTAGATTCGGAGTCGGTAGCACATTTTGTTTTAATTGATTCTTCTTTTGTTAGCTCTTGTAACCACTGTTTAGGTATTGCTTTTGTCAATTAAGAATATTCTGAAAACCAATTAGCATGGCAAGATAGTTTATCTGGAAGCATATTTTGATTAATTTTTCCTTTATCATTAATTATGTCATTTACAAATAAAATTTTACTGTTTATCCAATTTTTGAATATAAGACATTTACCATTTAATTTGATATGTTTATTGCCCGTATAAGTTGCTGCCTAATATGTTTATATGATAGTGAGTCTAAATCTTTTTCAGATTTTGAATTTATCCATGATATGATTATTTTGAAGTAAAATTCTGGAACAATTTCTTTTAGTTCATCATATTTATTAATGAAATTAATATTGTTAAAGTTCATTTTTAATACTATATAAGGAATTCTTGTCCAAATTTGTCTAAGTAAAATTTTGGTAAGACATTCCAATTGGGTGATTGGTCTTCGCTATCAATGAGTCTTTTTACCCAATTAATATTTATGGATTCTATATATTTATCTATGTCTATCATTTTAAGCCCACCAGCATGATAACTTTAACTCTTTTAACTTTTTCTGGTTTATTGTTCCATATAAAACTATATATGATTTTTTTTTAATTTTGCAAGGTATTCTTTATGAATTTCTGTTACTGATGCAACATGAGTGATATTCGGTAGGATTAATGATTTAACAAGAGTTATTTTACCTAACATAGCTAATTTTCTTTTATTCCAGTCTATAATTATTTTTTCAGATTTTTTGTATTGTCATTACAAGTTTAATTTTTAACACTTATTTTTATTAAGTCCAAAATATATTCCCAATAATTTTATCGGTTCTTGTGTCCACTTAATATGGTCAACCTTATCTTTACAGGACTTTAAATTTCCGAGCCATATCCCCTCTGTTTTTCTTAAAATACTTACAGGATTAGGGTTTGAAGTCTTTGTATCAATCAGACCATAACTTCCACCATAAAATGTCTGCCTCACTACCACATCCACTCCTAATGATGCTGATATTCCTAATTTATCTAGCCACCTGTAGAAAACAAAATATAAATATCAGGTATTTTCAAATCTAGGTCTCTTTCCAGTGGTTGAAAAACAGACAAGTTGTTGACATTCTGTCGATTCTTATATAAAGGCATTGCATTAGGTCATGCATTTTTCCGACTTTTGATGACATCTTTACCATGTTTACCCTAAATCTATTAGATGTGTATTGATTGATATTTTAGTCTGGAAGACATGATTTAACTATAAGTTGCAATGGGGTTTGAACTAGTTTGCAGCAGCTGTTAAATACTCTAAGATCAAAACTTTTTGTCTTTAGCCTTTCGTAATTTATATTTTGTGCTTTGTACCAATCTGAATAGTAAAGCTCTTTTTAACTGATTTCTATAGTTTTTTCCTATGTTGTACGGTTACCGTATTGCCCTAGGTTAGTGGGAGTGTTGAGTGCTCACAAACTTGTTTAATCTCGTCGCATTCTGTATGTGCCTGTTCCAAATCAGGAGCATACAATTCACTGCTGTCTGCAACAATTGTTTTTCTTTAATTGGTTTAGTATAAATCAGGTTGCTAGTTTTCTTATTAAAAACTGTTTCACTTTTGTAATGGCAAAATCTTTTAAAGTGAACTATACAGTATTGGTCTTGCTTATTGGTGAAGACAGTCCAGTGACCTATAGTTCCTTATATCCAGATCCTTTGGTGGATAATCGTCTAATTGGTAATCATACCACATCCTCGCATCATCATTATGTAATCTAATCTGTTTACAAATCCATGTTGTTTCTCCTAACCTTAACTTCATATCTTCCAGACCTACACCTCCTCCAAGGGCTGACTATGTGTCTTGTAACTAGAAAATCGAGTCACACATCTGTCACATAAACAAACAGTTCAACTTTGTATCTCCCCAACTTACATGAATCCTGCAACATATCTGTCAGATAATCCTGCAGCTCCTCCTCCCCAGGCTGAGCTTGTTTCACCTAACCAGAATTTGCCATATAAAGGAAATGGAGCTATCTTCTTTGCAACATTTATCTGCCAAGGTAGATTACTCAGAATGTCTGGTGCCATGAACTTTGGGACAGTCATTGATGGACCATAGTCATAATAGCTACAAAAACATATTATAAGTATGATCTTTTTCATGGGATCAGTTGGGGAAGCATTGTGTACATTTTTCATAGATAAAAAGGGAAAATGAAAAGATTTAAAAGTGATCCATTTCTAATATCCCTAATAATTTTAGAATAAGTTGTATACAATATGCTTTAGATACCCTATTACCTGCTATGCAAAATGGTGAAATCTCATGCACACACAAAATATATAATGGACAACTTAAACAGAAACAGAAAAAAAGTTAAACAAAAATATGTTTTTTTTTTCTAAATACATTTTTGATCATTTACAAATGTATTGTAGATTTATTGATTGTATGAAGGGTTGGTTACCTCACTTTTTTTCTTGGGGTACCTCTCAATACTTAGAACTGACTGACATCATCCTAAAATTATTTTACCAGTGCCTTTTAATAAAAGTAAAATAGAATTTTAATTATACAATCTTATAGGCATACACATGAACTAAATCCACCTGCTATCATAGTACTTTAATATTCTGATATATATATCTCTAAAAAAAAAAACACTGCTTCCCTCTGTGGAGCTTTGCCAACTTTGGAAAGCTGAAATTTATTCCTACCCCATTTTTGCTTTGACCATATCACCACTTTTATGTGTTTAACTTAAAAGTTTTTCAACAAACATGCAATTTACCGGTAATATAATTTCAGGGCCTTTAGTTCACTTTTTAAAGAAAACAGTAAAAAATGTATATATCAGAATGATACTCCCACATAATACACGGCAACTTTATGGTAGATCAATAACAAAGGGAACACATTATGGTTGTATGCCTAATGATGGAATGTAGGATTGTTTACTTCCTTTAGTTTAAAAGACAAGTTACCTCCCTTAACCCTTTCGTACCGAAATGATCCTTTTGGCACCCTGGAGCGCGAGCCGAAATTATCCTTTTGGCACCACGGAGCTGTGGGCGAAATTATCCTTAAGGATACCTAAAATTCTATTTTTAGAACGACAACTTCAAAAGTAAAAATACTAAATTCTAACCATAGGTTTCGGTTCATGGTGTAAATAAAGTTAAAATAATATAACATAATTTTAGTTTTACAATGGTTGAAAGGATATATTGTTCATCAAATGCGAAAACTGAAAATAAAACATGAAAAAATATCGACTCCATTTGCAAAATGGCGAAACGAAAAACTCCTCGTTGAATCGTTTTTTTTCATGAAATTAGTGTAAGTATTCAAAGCAACAACGAATCAAATTAAATTTATAATATAAAATTACAAACTTCAGGTTATTTTTGCTTTAACTTCAGGATCGTAGTTTATTTTTAAATGCTTAAAATGTCGAGCAGGTGCTTGTACGATAGTAAAATTTATCTCGGTGACATCACATTTGCAAACACAAATAAAGCTAATTAAAAATAGTTCTTGTCGGTCATTTTACATATCAACGAATTGATAAAAATCTCGAGAATTTTTGCATATTAATGTAATCCTTAATTACTTTTTTTGTGTGCTAAAAATACAAAAATTCTAACGACCTTAAATTGAACCGGAAATAGACATCGTTATGGAAAATATGTCAACAATCATGGCGGAAAAATATTACACAATTTATGCAACCCGGTAAAAAGTTTGTTTTCGCTTATATTTCGTTTACTTAGAAGTAAAAATAAAATTATCAACTAAGTAAGACATGTAACCTGACACTGTAGTGGTGTTTTCTGCTATTTTAATCTGTTAATTTAAGTAAAAGAAGTGATGAAAGGTAAGTCTCGTATCACCGTTGGGTCACTTGTTCAGTCAAAAAAGGTTAACAAAATGTCGTCTGATGAATCTGACGAATTTGAAGGCTTTTCTCAAGGTGAAATAGATGAAGCTGAAGCTAGATACCAGCATCAGTTACTTCAGCAGGGTTTAGGTGATGACAGTGACGGCTACATAGAATCCGGTGATTCAGACGATGATATCAATGATGATATCCCTGGACCTGCTGGTGATGCTGGTAATGTCTTTCATAATCATAATGGTTGGCATGAAAACTTTATATATCATGAACGAGGAATGCCTCACCTTTTCACACCCTCTGGAATCTCAGGGCCAACTAGGATCATGCCACAAGACAAGGATCCTATAGATTTCCTTAAGCTTTTCCTGACTGACATGCTAATTGAAAATTTGATTGATGAAACTGACCGCTATGCCCTTCAACAGAAAGAGCAACACCCAAATCAGAACAAAATGGCCTGGGTAAGACCTTCAGTTGCTGAGATGAATGCTTTTCTTGGACTCTGTTTCCAAATGGGTGTTGATAGGAAACCATCTACCAAAATGTACTGGTCAACTGATCATTTTTTGCATACACCTGTATTTCCGCAAACCATGAGTCGTGACAGGTTCACACAGATAATGAGATACCTCCACTTTTCAAACTCAGAGTTAGAACCATTACCAGGTGCTGAAAATTATGACCCCTTGTTTAAAGTCAAACCATTAGTAAATCACTTCAATGCCTGCTTCAACCAGGAGTATAACCCTAAAAGAAATGTCACTATAGACGAGAGTATGATTCCGTTTAAAGGTAGAGTTCAGTTTCGACAATACATGCCAGCAAAGCCACATAAATGGGGAGTGAAGGTGTGGATGCTAGCTGAGTCTCAAAGTAGCTACATACAGTTTGTAGACATATATCCAGGGAGACGTGCAACTCCTCAATTACACCTAGCCAGTAATGTTGTCAAAAGGTGTCTACAGGGAGCACAACTAGAGGGTAAAGGGTACCATGTGTATACTGATAATTATTTTTCAAGTCCAGAGCTTTTTGTAGATTTATTTGAAAATTATGGTACAGCAGCGTGTGGAACAGTCCGAATAAACCGTAGGGGACTACCCGTTGATATAATTTGTAAACGACAAGAAGGCATAAATCAACGTGGGGATATGAAGTTCCGCCAAAAAGGATGTCTTGTAGCTTCAGCTTGGAAAGATAAAAAAATTGTAAATGTCTTGTCAACTATTCATGACAACAGTACATCTGAAGTGCAGAGACTAGTCAATACAGATGGCAATTTTTCTAGGCAAAACTTTGTTTGTCCAAAAATGGTTGCAGATTATACTAGTAATATGGGAGGTGTGGACCGTGCCGACCAGTATATCCAATATTACTGCTACAATCATAAAACAATCAAATGGAGTAAGAGGGTTTTCTTTGTACTACTGGAAATGGCAAAATTTAATGCTTTTAAACTGTTTATCATGAGCAATAACCATCCATCTTCAATGACATTCCTTGACTTTACTTTAAATATTGCAAAAGGATTAGTCGCAGGCTATTCATCTGACATCCGCAGGGGAAGACCATCACAAGTTCCACTTGAAAACAGACTTGTTCAGAGACATATGCCATCTAGTTTCAACAAGAAGTCAAAATGCCATTTATGCTACATGAGGACAAAAAATGGAAATCAGGAGACGGTTAAACAAACCAAATTTGGCTGTAATGATTGTGGAAAACACCTGTGCCTGCCTGAATGCTTTACCAAATTCCACACTGTAAGGAATTGTTACAACTGATCAAGGAAGTGGATCATAGAACTGTTTTGTTAATGTTGACTGTTACTTTTAAGCTGTTTGGACGTCTGTTAAAGTTTTAATTGTTGACTAGTTGTTTTAAAAAAAACCTGAACATTTACCACATATAAACAATCCTTATTTCCGATATCAATTCATGCAGGCAGGCCAGTGTTGACATTCAAGCTAGAGGATTTATCTGTAAATTTTTGTAAGTTATATGTTACATTTTAAACATATATTTTTGTTAAAAATCATATGAACTGGCAGAATAGTTTTAGTTAAAAAAAAATTATAGACAGAAACTTTGAAGTATGAACATGAAAAAGATATGAATTTTAAAATATGCCAAAAATTTTATAAACTATTAAAAAAAAAAAATTCAACATTAAAACTTTTTCTCATGAACTATTAATTATGAATTTAATCCAGTCTTTTAATGCATGCACGTATATACAATAAATTTTCATCAAGTAAAAAAAAATCATAGATCTGTATAATTATCTCATACAGCATGTACAGTACATATATGAATTTACTGAAGTATAACAAATGGTTTGTGTAAGGTAAATTAATTTGCTGAACCAAATGGGGATGAAAATGATAAAATACTGCAACATTTTATTGTTTGTCTCGATAAAATATTTTGGTTTTAATTTTGCTTGCAATTTTGCACGGATTTTGTTAGTTTCCAAATTCAAACTCTTGCTTATGGTAGGATTAATGTTCCTGATTTTGTTGGAGTTGTCTCTCTTCTTTAACCATGTAAACAATATGGCGGTCGCAATTTTCTCGTAAACGACAGACACTTTATTAAGCATTTTTTTGTCTGGAAGACATCGATTGGAACACTTTTTACGGATAAGGAACTTGAGTAGTACGACTGTTATTCGTTTGCATGACACTTGTTTGAAGTAAAATTGGTTCAAACGTAATTTAAGCGCATTTAAACAGTACCGAGGTAGAAAAAATTCCGTACGCAAATTTTCAACGGGAAAGTAGAATAATTTTGCTTTAAATCGCAGTCAATCAACAAAATGGCATTAACCCTCCTTGGAGAACAAACTTTTCTTTCACCACGTGGCTTATGAACGACCAATTTACTGTCGTTTGCTGAAATTCGACGATTTCCGTAATCACGATTTTTTTCTGTAGAACCTTGCAAAATGAAACCCGGTCGGGGAATTAGCTCGAGGAAATAAACTTCGGCCACCAAATCCCGCGAAAAAAATTTAATTCAGGAGCGAAAGTGTTAATATGTACATAGCTTTTGTGTACTTACTGATGGAATGTAGGATTGGTGACTATATCAGGTCCTCCTGCATCAACAAAACTGAAATTAAAAACAAACTTATAGAATAACTAATAGAAATGCTTCTTTCCATACACTGAAGATGAAATAATCTTTGACATGGATTTAAAATTAATTTCAATGGGGCAAAGGGAAATTTTCTAACTATCAGTAACCAAACACTGACTTAATTTTTCAAAAGTGTTGTATTATTACTGGTCATATAATGATAAAAGAATATTCATTGTCTGGTCTGTAATTTTAATTTCAGAATTGGTCTGATCAAAATCTAAAGGATTATGGGTAACTTCATTATATGTACAACAAAATGGAAATTCAACCAATGACGTAACATTATTTTTCATTTTGCTGTCCATAGTAACGTTATGCAATTAGTTGAATTTCCATTTTCTGGACGGCATCAACCAATCACCAGCTCTTGGAAATATTAACTATAATGCCTTTGATTCTGTGAATTCATGTCAGGTTACTTACAAAATGATGTATGAAATCATTTTCTTTCACTTTTTAAAAAAAGATGTTGCCATTTAGAAATACAGTGAAATTGAGTGTTGTATATTATACATTTACTTCCCATGCCTGAGGGAGATATGAAGATTTGTTTACCCAAGAATATTCATATTTCACGAGGGCTCTGCCCAAGGGAAATATGATATTTCGAGGGTGAGCAAATCTTCATATCTCCCGAGGCAAAGGGAAATGAATGTTTTATTCCACTGCCTATGCTTTGTTTACTATCAATACATTAATTATTATTTTGCATACATTTTTTTTCTTATCCGCTTGTTTTTATAAGTTAAACTAAACATGACATACACATTGATGAACAGTACGGATCAAAAGTTCATTATTAGTCTTTTTGTTTTATCGTCTGAAATAAATTTGAACATGATAATGATTTCTGCTATCACTATTTTAAGAAGAATAAGAAGTTCAAAACGTTATGTACATTAACTGCGCGTAACGTCGCACGATGTAATCCCGACATTTCAGAGGGGAATATGATCCTCAAAAGGGAATATGAAGATTTGTTCAATGACACGTGGGATAGTCTCAACCAATCAAATATTGATTTAACTATCAATATGTATAAACAGTGGAATAATACAGCATAAGACATTATTATTTCATTTTTAACAGATGATTCAGTAATGCTACATTGTCTTCAGAACACATTGGTTCATACAGTATTACATTGTTTTATTATTTTGTTCTGTTTTAAATTCTGAAGTACATGACCATGAAGTATAAATGTAATTGAATTAAGTCATGTCAGAAGTCAGGAATCTAGCCACTAGTTGTCATTCTCACTCCCTGGGTTATTTGTCTACCAAGGCCAATGGTAGAAAGTTACATATATCTGCAAAACTTCTATCAGGGAAATTTTAGACTGATTTCGATCACATTTGATTCAACTGGCCAAGTGGTTTCAGTAGAGAAAAACATTTAAATATTCATGGTCAACAACAATAGATAATACACAAACACATCATACCTTCATACTGACCCTGTAGACTAGGTAGGGCAACAACAATAGATAATACACAAACACATCATACCTTCATACTGACCCTGTAGACTAGGTAGGGCAACAACAATAGATAATACACAAACACTTCATACCTTCATACTGACCCTGTAGACTAGGTAGGTCAACAACAATAGATAATACACAAATACTTCATACCTTCATACTGACCCTGTAGACTAGGTAGGTCAACAACAATAGATAATACACAAATACTTCATACCTTCATACTGACCCTGTAGACTAGGTAGGTCAACAACAATAGATAATACACAAATACTTCATACCTTCATACTGACCCTGTAGACTAGGTAGGGCAACAACAATAGATAATACACAAACACATCATACCTTCATACTGACCCTGTAGACTAGGTAGGGCAACAACAATAGATAATACACAAACACATCATACCTTCATACTGACCCTGTAGACTAGGTAGGGCAACAACAATAGATAATACACAAACACATCATAACTTCATAATGACCCTGTAGACTAGGTAGGGCAACAATAATAGATAATACACAAACACATCATACCTTCATACTGACCCTGTAGACTAGGTAGGTCAACAACAATAGATAATACACAAACACATCATACCTTCATACTGACCCTGTAGACTAGGTAGGGCAACAATAATAGATAATACACAAACACATCATAACTTCATAATGACCCTGTAGACTAGGTAGACTAAACTAGAGGCTCTCAAGAGCCTGTGTCGCTCACCTGATTCTACTTTGGTTTTGGAAATTATGTAAAAATAGATTAAAATCATAACAGATACCCTAATAATGAGTGAGGCCAAATTTGGTTTAATATTGGTCCTGTAATTTAATAAAAAATCCTGGTGGCCATCTTGAACAGTAAATCAGCAACAAAGTAGCAACACTTAATCAGCACCTCATAAGAAACATTTATGCCATGTTTTGGTTTCATTCCATTCAGTGCACCTCTAGAAGAAGCATTTGTATGTATTTCCCATAGGGTCTTATGTTAAAGGAAGTCCCCCCATTGGCGGCCATCATGGATGAAGGATCAGCTTCAAAGTAACAAAAAAGTAGTCAGCACCTCATAAGGAACATTCATGCCATGTTTGGTTCAATCCATTCAGTATGTGGTTCTCTAAAAGAAGACATTTGTATGTATTGTCCATAGGGTCCTTTGTTAAACATTGTCCCCATCTGGCAGCCATCATAGATGAAGGATCAGCTTCAAAGTAACAACACTTGGTCAGCACCTCGAAAGGAACATGCATGCCATGTTTGGTTTCATTCCATTCAATGGTTCTCTAAAAGAAAACATTTGTACGTATTTCTCATAGGGTCCTATGTTAAACTAAGTCCTCCGCTGGCGGCCATCTTAGATTATGGATCGGCTTCATAGTAACAACACTTGGTCAGCACCTCATAAGGAACATTCATGCCATGTTTGGTTTCATTCCATTCAGTGGTTCTCTAAAAGAAAACATTTGTATGTATTTCCCATAGGATCCTATGTTAAACTAAGTCCCCCGCTGGCTGCCATCTTGGATGATGGATCGGCTTCAAAGTAACAACACTTGGTCAGCACCTCAAAAGGAACATTCTTGCCATGTTTGGTTTCATTCCATTCAGTGGTTCTCTAAAAGAAGACGTTTGTATGTATTTCCCATAGGGTCCCATGTTAAACTAAGTCCCCCGCTGGCGGCCATCTTGGATTATGGATCGGCTTCAAAGTAACAACACTCGGTCAGCACCTCATAAGGAACATTCATGCCATGTTTGGTTTCATTGCATTCAGTGGTTCTCTAAAAGAAAACATTTGTATGTATTTCCCATAGGATCCTATGTTAAACTAAGTCCCCCGCTGGTTGCCATCTTGGATGATGGATCGGCTTCAAAGTAACAACACTTGGTCAGCACCTCATAAGGAACATTCTTGCCATGTTTGGTTTCATTCCATTCAGTGGTTCTCTAAAAGAAGACATTTGTATGTATTTCTCATAGGGTCCTATGTTAAACTAAGTCCCTCACTGGCGGCCATTTTGGATGATTGAACGGCTACAAAGTAACAACACTTGGTCAGCACCTTGTAAGTAACATTCATGCTATGTTTTGTTTCATTCCATTCAGTGGTTCTCTAAAAGAAGTCATTTGTATGCATTTCCCATAGGGTCCTATGTTAAACTAAGTCCCCCGCTTGCGGCCATCTTGGATGATGGATCGGCTACAAAGTAACAACACTTGGTCAGCACCTCCTAATGAACATTCATGCTATGTTTTGTTTCATTCCATTCAGTGGTTCTCTAAAAGAAGTCATTTGTATGCCTTTCCCATAGGGTCCTATGTTAAACTATGTCCCTCGCTGGCGGCCATTTTGGATGATGGAATGGCTACAAAGTAACAACACTTGGTCAGCACCTTGTAACATGCTATGTTTTGTTTCATTCCATTCAGTGGTTCTCTAAAAGAAGTCATTTGTATGCATTTCCCATAGGGTCCTATGTTAAACTAAGTCCCCTGCTGGCAGCCATCTTGGATGATGGATCAACTACAAAGTAACAACACTTGGTCAGCACTTCCTAATGAACATTCATGCTATGTTTTGTTTCATTCCATTCAGTGGTTCTCTAAAAGAAGACATTTGTATGCATTTCCCATAGGGTCCTATGTTAAACTAAGTCCCCCGCTGGCTGCCATCTTGGATTATGGATCGGCTTCAAAGTAACAACACTCGGTCAGCACCTCATAAGAAACATTCATGCCATGTTTGGTTTCATTCCATTCAGTGGTTCTCTAAAAGAAGTCATTTGTATGCATTTCCCATAGGGTCCTATGTTAAACTAAGTCCCCCGCTGGCGGCCATCTTGGATGATGGATCGGCTACAAAGTAACAACACTTGGTCAGCACCTCATAAGGAACATTCATGCCATGTTTGGTTTCATTCCATTCAGTGGTTCTCTAGAAGAAGTTCAAAATGTAAAAAGTTTACGCCGACGACGGACGACGCCGGACGACGCCGGACGACGACGGACGACGGACGCCAAGTGATGAGAAAAGCTCACTTGGCCCTTCGGGCCAGGTGAGCTAAAAATAATGCTGATGTCACTTACTCTTGTAAATATTTCCTACTAATTTCCTTTACTAACATTGTAACACTGGGACCTATAACAATACCATTTCTCCATTGTGGATAGTGGTTAAGGAGGCTGTGTAGTATACTGTAGTCCTTGGCTCTCTGGGCTCCTGTTATGTTAATACCTACGTCTTTATAAACATCAGGTTCTATAAATACAAAATATATTTGGATTTTTACATGGCATTTTCCATATCTGTAACACATATGTGTCATAATACTGGTGTGGTAATTGGTGGATGTGTATGATGAATCAGAATGAAACCAAGTTGATTAAGAATGAGACCATGATAAATCACGATGAAGCCATTTGGTGATTCATGATGAAACCATGTTGATTAAGAATAAGACCATGATAAATCAGGATGAAGCCATTTGGTGATTCATGATGAAACCAAACCATGTTGATTCAGGATGAGACCAAACCAAGTTGATTCAGGATGAAATCAAGCTCATTCAAGATGAGATCATGTTAATACTATAAGAATATTAACCCTCCCTTGTAAAAGATTGATTTTCAACATTCTACTTGGATTTTTTTTACCAGGTGAGAAAGATATATCTTCATAGCAAGACACATAATATTGATTTAAAGCTGACTAGTCACTTTAATCTTTTTATACCGACATGCTAAATGAAGAAGCAGAAATATCAATTTTAGATTCTTTAATTTCATTGTGCCAGGAATTGAACAACATCTAACACTGCAAGGAAAGCATGCTACATCATATCAACAGAAGCAGTTGTACAGATTTGTCCACTGCAGGGAAAGCATGCCACATCATATCAACAGAAGCATTTGTACAGATGTGTCCACTGCAGGGATAGCCCTAGCTTTCAGTGACAGTGTTTCTTGTAGTTTCAATGTTAAAATTTTAAATATGATGGATATACCGGTATGCATTTATTGATTAACGGCATATGATACAGTTTTGATCCCACAGTGATTTTTTTACGAAAATTTACATACAAGCTATTTTTCACCTAATCAATTCAAATATGTAATAAAAAATATACCTTCATGTGCTACTTTAAGAGATAAATGGGGTATAAATTTTAGACATCTACTCAAAATTTCGTTTTTTGGGCATTTCTATCCTTTGAATAGACATACCTAACTTTTTTGTTTCAAAAGATAAGCAAAAGCGGATTTTTGTAAAAACATTTGGAAAATCTTCTTTACATAAGTATGCTGTAAATTTGTATAATAATTTTTTGGAAATAATTAAATTTTATCAAAGTTTCATGATTTTAGTCAAAAATGGCATTTTTTCCTGTATATTTATCTAATTTAAAAAAATTTCATCTGTGACTTTTTAATAAAAATTGGTACAAAAATCTTCATATGTAATCAAACCTAATGTCATTTTAAAAAAGAGGGGTCCATGATTTCGTTTTCAAGTTCAATCAGTTTGAATGATAAAAATCAGTTGAAAAATGCATCTTTTCCAGATATGTCATAGTTTGACGTCGCGAAAATAACATTTTACATATTAGCAACGTCATTACCTCCCCTGTAACTGTATTGTATGCCCTTAAGCTTTAGATTTGTTGTTCCTGAGGGGAAAAGTCTGACTAAAAAAGGTCAATTCATTTCTGATTATATTCTAGGTTTTCTTTCTTTATATTATTATTGCATACACTCTTTAGACCCATTGGACAGAACTTACAACTTCTATTGGAAATAAAGGTGTCAAATATCAGACATAATTGGACAAATTTCAAAGTATAAAGAATTTTTATTTCTTTTTACTTACATCGCATATTATTTTGTTACACCAATGTGGACATACACTGACCTATAGTTTTAACTTCTAAGTCATTTGGTCTCTGGTGGAGAGATGTCTCAATGGAGATGTCTCAATGGCAATCATACCACATCTTTTTAATTTTATATAATCTTTTAATGGCTCTTGATAGAAATTGTCCTTTGAATTATACATACATGGAATGATTTTACATTAATATTATCTTTTGGGGGGATATTTTTTGGTGTTTATTTGGATGAAGGTGGAATATAGTTTGATATTAAGGCCTATATTTTTTGTAAGACAAATTACCAAAATCGTTATACAAATACATCCATGTATTAACATTAATAATTAATGTTACCATTGCCAAGTTCCCATCCAACTATTTTATATCCTTTCTGTGATGTATAATCCATGAGTAGTTTAGCATTATCTGGTAGCCATTGTCCATTCTGTCTAAGTAATGAGTTCAGGTCAAATATAAGATCCCATCCAACCATTTCTGCAAAACCATTCAGTTCATCCCACTGTCTTGCTACAAAGGAACAAAAATAGGACTAAACTGTTCATTAGATCAATTGCCTCATAAATATGTATGTTTGCTTCACATGCTTCAAGCCTTAAAAAGTTAAATTTGTTAGACAGACAGAAGTTTCTATGAAAATCATATTTGAGATCACAAGAATTTATGCTGACCTCTAGTTGTTGTTGGTTTTTTGTGTTGTTGAGTTTCTGTCTGATTAAGGTATGCTTTCCTTTTATTCATAAACATCAATTTGCCCAACAATTCATTTAATTAAAAATCAATTTAAATTTTCTCAAATACCACAAACGTAAAACGATTAATCTAACCTTTTTTCAATTTTAATAGATTTGATATCAATGTGTATTGAAACCCTAAATAATAAACAGCTGCGCCATGAGCGCATGATACGCCCGTCGTCTTGTGTGTGAATTTTTATGCAATAATCATAAATAGTTTCTGACATACGGCGTGACATGCGAAAACCTCCCTTTTTTTTTACAAAAAAACTCAATATTCTTTAGATTATTATAACTAAGAAGTGTGTAAAATTTTAAGCAATAATCATAAATCGTTTTTTAGATACAGTGCGACATGTGAAAATCCCCCTTTTTAAAAAAAAAAAATCAATATCTCTAAAATAAAATTTTGAATCAAAACCAAAAAGTATACAGAGCTTTAGATTAATATAACTAAGAAGTGCGTAAAATTTTAAGCAATAATCATAAATAGTTTTTGAGATACGGTGCGACTTTTTTTACAAAATACTCAATAACTCAAAAATAAAATTTTGAACCATCACTAAAAAGTATACAGATCTTAAGATTAATATAACTCAGAAATGTGTAAAGTTTCAAGCAATAATCATAAATTGTTTTTGAGATACGGCGCGACATGTGAAAAAAAACACACACCTGTTTTAGTTACTAAGTCCTGTAACTCAAAAAGCTTTATGAAATTTGGATAAGTCGTTCTCAAGTTACGGTGCGACATGTTTACGCCGGACAGACAGACGGACAGACGGATAGACGGACAGACGACATTTGTATACCATAATACGTCCCGTCAAAATTTTGAGGGGCGTATAAAAATGTTAAATCTTAAATTAAGGTACTCTACGAAATCAGTTGTCTGGTATATTGATTACTTAATCAACAATGAAAACATTCCAATTTTACATAATTAATTTGCACAATTAAGACATCTTGTATATCAGCTTTTTGCATAATTATAAGTATTCACAGAATAGGTGTGTAAAATAAATATACATTGCACAGGTGTAAACTGATTTTAATTTAAGTCAATTCATAGTTTCATTTTGACTTTCAAATTTTGTGGACGTACATGTAAAAATGTCAATCATCCACATCCAAGGTTGGTCATATTTCTAACAAAATTCTGATTAAAAAATTGTTCAATGAAAATTTAGTGTATACTGGTCCGTGAACAAAACAAAGTGGTCTGTAGGAAGGATGTAATGATAAACTTCAATATATCGTTCATATAACCATATATATGCTGAAATACTGCAGAAATTGTCTTTGAACATCATCTTTACTACCAGTTGACTTGTTAATCGGTAAAAGATTATCTGAGTAACCGAATTAGTTTGGTAAAATTGTTCTATTTGACAACAATAGAAGACAAACATTTCACTTAACATAAATTTTGTAAAAATTGGACCTTCAAAGAATACATGTATATCTGGTCTTGTTTAACAAAAATGTGATAAATTTAATGGCAGCAGTCAGATTTTAAGGCAGGTTGGGTCATCTATATGACAATTTTGACAGAAATTCATGGTTCTTTTTGAGCTAAAAAGCATCCCTACTAGAACTTATCATTCCATTTATTTATTCTAGTCATGTTTTTGTTGCTTTGTTCATGTGATTTTTTTTTTAAATTTAACAAAGAAAGTAAGAACCTTAGGAGAAATGTAATACTTTTTCTACAAACAGTAAAATAAATTTTGAAGCATTTTCAGGTAAACAACAGATTTTTGACTGGTTTTGCTTATTGTTGAAGGCCGTATGGTCTCCTATAGTTGCTAACCTTTTACATCATTTGGATCTGGTGGATAGTTGTATCATAAGCAATCATACCACATCTATTTATATTGTGATTCTTGTCTGGTACAAGTTATTAAAGAAAACTTTTTGACTTGTACACCATCCTCACATGCATGTATATTATATCATAATAAATTTCTAACTTGTACTGTATCCTTACCTATCATAGTAAAATTAGTCAGTTTCTTGTTTATACGGTCTGTTAAAATGAACTCTTTTGGCACTTTTTGGTAACTTTCACTCTGAGACGATGGATCAAACTGGAGATAATCTGCTGAGCTTCCCCCAACACGTAAATAACATGGTGATAATGCTTTGGCTAATACCTGTACTTTTGGAGAACTAAAAAAGAAAAAATATGTATTATCAAAACAATGTCAGAGTTTTGGTTCAATTTTTCATTTGTTAAGATAAAGAAATACAATCTAAAATGAGATGTAATGTATCATATTAATCTCTTTTTTCTAAATTTAGTATCAATCATAACTTATGGTGACTTCTCTTACTTTAGATCTATGCCATGATATGTTTAGTGACTTCAATAAATTTAGATCTTACCATACATTTGTACCTTATGGAGGCTTCACATAATTTAGATGATCTCTGTTACATGTTTAGTAACTTCTATAAATTTAGATCTTTACCATACAAAAATGATACATTTGTATCTTATGGCGACTTCTCTAAATTTTAAGATGTCTACCATGCTTTATGAAGGTTCTTCACGAGTCGTGTCACTCACTCATATCAAAGTTTATTGCTGTCCTGTTTTCCTGAAGTATTGTGAAGCTTACCTGATAATGAATTTCTTTACCTTGATAATTATTGCTTAATTTGACAGACAAATAATCTCTTTATCTGAGTTTAAAGTGTTATCTCATTTGCCTCATAATTTTTGTCATTACATAAAGTTAACTGTTGCCTCTTTTGCCTGATAATGAATCTTCTTACCTGAAGTTAATTACTGTCCAGTTTGTCTGTTAAATTCTATAACACTAAATAATCAGGTTTACTGTTGCCCTAGGCCTATTTACCTAATAATGAATCTCTCCACCTAAAATTGAGTGTTGCCTAATTTACCTGATAATGAATCTCTTTACCTGTAATTGAGTGTAGCCGAACATACCTGATAATAAATCTTTTTACCTGTAATTGAGTGTAGCCCAATATACCTGATAATGAATCTCTTAACCTGTGATTGAGTGTTGCCCAATTTACCTGATAATGAATCACTTTACCTGTGATTGAGTGTTGCCCAATTTACCTGATATGAATCTCTTTACCTGTAATTGAGAGTTGCACAATTTACCAGATAATGAATATTTCTACCTGTAACTGAGTGTAGCCCAATTTACCTTAGAATGAATCTCTTTAACTGTAATTGAGTGTTGCCCAATTATCCAAATCATGAATCTCTTTACCTGTAATTGAGTGTAGCCTAATTTACCTGATAATAAATCTTTTACTTGTAATTGAGTGATGCCTAATTTACTGGATAATGAATCTCTTTACCTGTAATTGAGTGTTGCCCAATTTGCCTGAAAATGAATTTCTTTAACTGTAATTGAGTGTTGCCCAATTTACCTGAAAATGAATCTCTTTAACTGTAATTGAGTGTTGCCCAATTATCCTAATCATAAATCTCTTTACCTGTAATTGAGTGTTGCCCCATTTACCTGATAATGAATCTGTTTACCTGTAATTGAGTGTTGCCCATTTACCTGATAATGAATCTCTTTACCTGTGATTGAGTGTTGCTCAATTTACCTGATAATGAATCTCTTTACCTGAAGTTGAGTGTTGCCCAATTATTCTGTATAAATGATGTATCTAATGTAACACTAAGGAATCTATCCGATACTGTTTCTATCACTGTATCTGTATCAATCATTACATTGGTTTTTCCATGCTCTGAGTATGTCATCTTCATCATGTACAGCACTAACAGCAGTATCATTTTATAAAGCATTTTTTTGTCCTTCTATTTTCTTTGATCCTTTAAATAAAAATAACAACAAAATAAATTACATATATGAATATTATATAACAGTCATGCCAGTTTAGACCTCTTCAATACATTCAGGTCATTCAAAGCCAGGGCTTTGGTATACTGTAAATTCAGACACTTTGCAAATGTTGATCAATGAACAAAAAATTGAGATTAATTATTTCGATTACAGGAAATGCTGCAAACAAATAATGATATGAAAATTCAAATGGAAGTTTTATTTTTGCATAACCTGTTCCATTGCAAATTTTGCAATTAAAAACATACGAAAAGGCCAAATGTATGTCTTGTTTGTTGGAATATAGTCAATTCTAAAAAAAATTATTTTAATTTCAGTAAGATTTAATTTTTTTCCAGCACATTTTTGGATGTAAGTTATACAAAAACTTTTCAAGTTCTTATTGAAATTGCGAAATTTTGGTTGACAACAGAAATTGAAAGGTATCCCCAATGCTCTTTTGAAGATTAAGCAATTCCTTAGAAGCTCTGATTGGCTTAAACTGGCTTAAAACATAAAGAACTCTACAGTCACTGCAACATTAACAGAGAATAAGTGATACATGGGATAAATCACAGCCAGGATACCATGCATGGATACCTATATAATAAGACAAAAACTAAACTCTAACTGAAATTAATTTCTTTTTTTAATCATGCTAATGCTACGTTTAATGCTTGCCACCCCTTTAATCTCTATTTTCATTTGAAATATCCACAGAACAATTAAATTTTTTGGAGTGGCCAAATTTCTAAATTTAGAGATATCTTCAAAAAATTTTCATAAAACTTTTCTTTTATTTGCTATTTCTATGGACGATTATGATCAAATGGTGTGTCCCACAAAAAAATACTAATTTTAAAAATACAAAATGTACATGTTTCTAAATAGAAATATTAACATACAAGTTCACCTTATTTTTTTCGATAATTTTTTCACCACCTTCATGGTCTTGTGGTAGTGTGTTCGCCTTGAGTGTTGGAGGTTATGGGTTCGAATCCCAGCTGGGTCAAACCAGATTTGAAAGTTGGTATTTGCTGCTTTTCTGCTTAGCATACAGCATTAAGGAGTAACAGCAAAGACTGGTCTGCTCAGAATAGTTGGTCCAGGTATTGTAACATGTCTTCCTGGGGACTAATGTTCAAAATCTGGTTCAGCATGTGGGTCTAGTACAAAGCAGGGTTAGTATTTATATTACATTTACTCATCTCTTCAGTATAAATACAGGATGCTATTCTATTTTTAGAAGCATACAATCACTGTAGATTTATATATATATGTCTGCCTATGTGTAGTGACTACTGTAAATTATACCTTGTCCATCACTATGAAGTCAGTCTGTCGGCCAGTTTTAGGGATTTAAATAGCCAGCAAGATTATGGCCTGATAGGGTTTGTGACATAATTGGTAAATTTACAGATTGAAGACTATTCTGGTAAAATGTATATCAAGATCTAAGCACTACAAAAGTCAAAAAGTCTGAAAAGACCAGTTTTTGTCGGAATTTGCATGAATTTTTACTCGACATTCTTAATTTGTCTGAATAATTTTTAAAAATTCTTGACATAGTATGAATTTGTCTAATAAGGTTCTTGATTTTTCTTGACATGTGTCTTGACAGTATGAGCATTGTCTTAAAATTTCTCGACACTTCCTGTATCATCTGATAAGAGTCTGGATTAGTCTCGACCAACTCTTGACTGTCTTAAATTTGTCTCGATCTGTCTTGACATATTCTTGACATTCTTAATAATGTCTGAATATGTCTCGACATATTCTTGACATTCTAAATAATGTCTGAATATGTCTCGACACATTCTTGACAGTCTTAAATATGTCTTGACACTATCTCAACAGTATAAATTTCGCCTGAAATGTGAACAGACGTATTCTGCACTGTTTATGACATTCTATTGCTGTTATATACTCCTTTTTATCATGGCTAAACTTAACTTTGAAGAATCAAGGATTAATTTGGTATATATAGTAAGATTTTTTGGTGCAACTAAGTTGTAATACCCTGAATAATCCCCCATGTAGTTTAATTTAGTTTAGGTCAAAGAATTTGTTCCCATCTTGATTCAAAAACATTATTCATTTTTTAGAACAACCTAATAACATTTTTTATTCAAATTTGAGTGTTGAATTTTATAATTTTTTATCAAAAATAAATATTAATAAATAATAAAAAAAACTCCTTCCTGAAAAGAAAAAAATGTTTAGATCTATATTATGCATGTCTGTTTGAGAACCATTTCTATAGAAATCATTGATGGGACCCATTATAAATACATTTTTTTTATTATTCCTGGAGTAGATAATAATTTTCTTTTAATCTTTGGGAATTATTCAATTTGTTTTTATGTTAAAATAATTAACTTCATAATTTTGATGAAGAAAATCCATTTCAATTCAATTTTTTTTCATCAAAATGATGATTTTTATTTCCATCTATCAACAAACGTTTTAATTGTAGTGGCATGGTCGGTCAACTGATAAGTTGTATGGCTGATTACAGGTAAAGCAATAACTTCTATTTGACAGTTGCGTGTACTCTGGGGTGTGGAATACCTTAATTTTATGGGGAACAATCCGAACATCCTGTCCATGTGTAATACTTAATATATTCCAACAGATGACATTACACAAATTTTTCTTCTGTTAAATGAATGATTTGTATATCATCATAATTTGCTATTTATATAAACCACATTTTGGTATAATAATTATTTACCATATCAACATTGAATATTATGAATGTAGAATGAAATATGTCTACAGTATGATTGGTTTGAATCATTTAATTTATAAGATTTAGGAATCAAAATTTGCAATTATTTAAAAACCCACATTGAAATTGTTTTATATCAACACAACCACATTTGAATTATTTTATACTTTAGATTTCATAGCCATATTTGCATTTGTAAAAATATTTATATACCCAAATTTTCAATTATTTTACATGCCCAAATTTTATTTTTGTTGTAAAGAAGTGTAACTTGAAACAACAGTATATCATATAAAGAGAAATAAAGATTAAAGTTATATCATGAATATTGGTCATGATTTGTAAAACTCAGAACTGTCAAGTAAATTTAAGACACGATTCAAAATGTTCAGAATATGTCAAGCCATACTGAGAAAAAATAAGAATGTCGAGAATATGTCGAGAAATTTCAAGACAGTATTCAAATGTCAAGAATTTGTCAAGAAATTTTAAGACCATATTCAGAATGTCGAGAATATGTAGAGTAAATTTCATACAAATTTAATATAAATGAGAATTTGTCAAGAAAAATTAAGACACAAGCCATACTTTTGGAGAATGTCGAGTAAAAGTTCATGGGAATTAAGACAAAAACTGGTCTTTTCAGACTTTTAGACTTTTGTAGTGAAGACTACAAAACAAGTGTCTTGTTTGTTGAGATACAGGCATGTTGTATCGGTCATCAAATTAGTGAAGGTGACTGTAAGACTTGTGTACCTGGTTGTTTGTTGAGATACAGACATGTTGTATCGGTCATCAAATTAGTGAAGGTGACTGTAAGACTTGTGTACCTGGTTGTTTGTTGAGATACAGACATGTTGTATCGGTCATCAAATTAGTGAAGGTGACTGTAAGACTTGTGTACCTGGTTGTTTGTTGAGATACAGACATGTTGTATCGGTCATCAAATTAGTGAAGGTGACTGTAAGACTTGTGTACCTGGTTGTTTGTTGAGATACAGACATGTTGTATCGGTCATCAAATTAGTGAAGGTGACTGTAAGACTTGTGTACCTGGTTGTTTGTTGAGATACAGACATGTTGTATCGGTCATCAAATTAGTGAAGGTGACTGTAAGACTTGTGTACCTGGTTGTTTGTTGAGATACAGGCATGTTGTATCGGTCATCAAATAAGTGAAGGTGACTGTAAGACTTGTGTAACTGGTTGTTTGTTGAGATACAGGCATGTTGTATCGGTCATCAAATAAGTGAAGGTGACTGTAAGACTTGTGTACCTGGTTGTTTGTTGAGATACAGGCATGTTGTATCGGTCATCAAATAAGTGAAGGTGACTGTAAGACTTGTGTACCTGGTTGTTTGTTGAGATACAGACATGTTGTATCGGTCATCAAATTAGTGAAGGTGACTGTAAGACTTGTGTACCTGGTTGTTTGTTGAGATACAGGCATGTTGTATCGGTCATCAAATTAGTGAAGGTGACTGTAAGACTTGTGTACCTGGTTGTTTGTTGAGATACAGGCATGTTGTATCGGACATCAAATTAGTGAAGGTGACTGTAAGACTTGTGTACCTGGTTGTTTGTTGAGATACAGGCATGTTGTATCGGTCATCAAATTAGTGAAGGTGACTGTACGACTTGTGTACCTGGTTGTTTGTTGAGATACAGGCATGTTGTATCGGTCATCAAATTAGTGAAGGTGACTGTACGACTTGTGTACCTGGTTGTTTGTTGAGATACAGACATGTTGTATCGGTCATCAAATTAGTGAAGGTGACTGTAAGACTTGTGTACCTGGTTGTTTGTTGAGATACAGACATGTTGTATCGGTCATCAAATTAGTGAAGGTGACTGTAAGACTTGTGTACCTGGTTGTTTGTTGAGATTCAGGCATGTTGTATCGGTCATCAAATTAGTGAAGGTGACTGTAAGACTTGTGTACCTGGTTGTTTGTTGAGATACAGGCATGTTGTATCGGTCATCAAATTAGTGAAGGTGACTGTAAGACTTGTGTACCTGGTTGTTTGTTGAGATACAGGCATGTTGTATCGGTCATCAAATTAGTGAAGGTGACTGTAAGACTTGTGTACCTGGTTGTTTGTTGAGATACAGGCATGTTGTATCGGTCATCAAATTAGTGAAGGTGACTGTAAGACTTGTGTACCTGGTTGTTTGTTGAGATACAGGCATGTTGTATCGGTCATCAAATTAGTGAAGGTGACTGTAAGACTTGTGTACCTGGTTGTTTGTTGAGATACAGGCATGTTGTATCGGTCATCAAATTAGTGAAGGTGACTGTAAGACTTGTGTACCTGGTTGTTTGTTGAGATACAGGCATGTTGTATCGGTCATCAAATTAGTGAAGGTGACTGTAAGACTTGTGTACCTGGTTGTTTGTTGAGATACAGGCATGTTGTATCGGTCATCAAATTAGTGAAGGTGACTGTAAGACTTGTGTACCTGGTTGTTTGTTGAGATACAGGCATGTTGTATCGGTCATCAAATTAGTGAAGGTGACTGTAAGACTTGTGAACCTGGTTGTTTGTTGAGATACAGGCATGTTGTATCGGTCATCAAATTAGTGAAGGTGACTGTAAGACTTGTGTACCTGGTTGTTTGTTGAGATACAGACATGTTGTATCGGTCATCAAATTAGTGAAGGTGACTGTAAGACTTGTGTACCTGGTTGTTTGTTGAGATACAGACATGTTGTATCGGTCATCAAATTAGTGAAGGTGACTGTAAGACTTGTGTACCTGGTTGTTTGTTGAGATACAGACATGTTGTATCGGTCATCAAATTAGTGAAGGTGACTGTAAGACTTGTGTACCTGGTTGTTTGTTGAGATACAGACATGTTGTATCGGTCATCAAATTAGTGAAGGTGACTGTAAGACTTGTGTACCTGGTTGTTTGTTGAGATACAGACATGTTGTATCGGTCATCAAATTAGTGAAGGTGACTGTAAGACTTGTGTACCTGGTTGTTTGTTGAGATACAGACATGTTGTAACGGTCATCAAATTAGTGAAGGTGACTGTAAGACTTGTGTACCTGGTTGTTTGTTGAGATACAGACATGTTGTATCAGTCATCAAATTAGTGAAGGTGACTGTAAGACTTGTGTACCTGGTTGTTTGTTGAGATACAGGCATGTTGTATCAGTCATCAAATTAGTGAAGGTGACTGTAAGACTTGTGTACCTGGTTGTTTGTTGAGATACAGACTTGTTGTATCAGTCATCAAATTAGTGAAGGTGACTGTAAGACTTGTGTACCTATCTACCTATTTATCTAAGTCACTCTTACTCATGTAAGACAAAAAAAATATATATGTCTGTTTACAGTTACCAGATCGACCCTAATTTGAGCGTCGACCCTAAGCCGTAAAGTGAAAAACTTAAATGGAGAATGTGTCACAGATGCCCCCACTTGTAAATATGCACAAGTCAACTTCCACATACAGATTCAGGATTCATGTAGTTGAGACCGTTTTGTAATTTTAAGCATTGGGTATAAGTTTCATAAAATTTGGCTGAGGCAAACTAAAGTTAGAGAACAGAAACGAAAAATACAGCAATTTTAATGTTTATAAAGGGGCATAACTCATGAACAGTAAAAGTCACACCACCCAATTCAAACTTGATCTGTGGTTTATGGTAATAAGCATTGTGTATAAGTTTTATAACATTTTGTTGAGGCAAACTAAAGTTAGAGAACAGAAATGAAAAATACAGCAATTTTAATGTTTATAAAGGGGCATAACTCATGAACAGTAAAAGTCACACCACCCAATTTCAAACTTGATCTGTGGTTTATGGTAATAAGCACTGTGTATAAGTTTTATAACATTTTGTTGAGGCAAACTAAAGTTAGAGAACAGAAACCAATTTTGGGGATGTACAGACGGACTGGACGGACAAGGGTTACACTTAATGCTCCCTCCGCTATAGCGGGGGCATAATAACTGAACTGGTGTCAGAGCAAAGTTACATGTAAAGATACTAATAAATTAAATCAATTGCCTGATACATCCCAATGTTTGCAATCATGAATATGATAGCTGTTTTAAGGAAACTACAACTTGTGTGATGAAACAAAAACTTTGCAGCCATTTTTCCCAACCAATAACCAAGGAAAATATTAATCCAATCATTAAAAATAAAGGAAAATTTGGCCCATGGACAACTTGGACATGGGCAAAACGGACTGCACATTTCAAAATCATGTCGCAAAAAACCTACCTATCCTATTTTTTTTTATGACCTTAAACAGACATATATTTTTTTTTTGCTTAACAGGAGAGCATGATTCTTATCAGAAAATCACATTGTCTCCTCCAGGACTCGAACCAGAAACCTCTAATTACAAGTCAGCACTCTATTCTTAACTGACTGAGCTAAACAAGTCCTCCCTAGCTCAACAGCTTACAGCTGGCTAAGTATCTACTACTCAAGGGAAACAATCCTGTCATTACACATGTACCCTGCTGGAGCAGTATTTGTGTAATTGGCACAACCATGTTACTTAAATCCCCTTTATATGAACATGAATGTCTGTACCATTTAATAAGTGTAAATAATAATCCATCTACAAAACTTTAAATGTTGTTTATCATTAAATCTGACAAGGCAAAGCTACTGATGGCAAACAGGAACCAGGGCAAAAAAGAAACCTGAATAGTCACAGGCACTTGTTCCATGTGATGGTAAAGGCCACTTGTTCTTTCTTTCCACAGGTCTTTACCATTGAATCAAACAAGTGCATGTGGGATAATTTTATGCCCAAACAAGCAACAAAAAACAGAACCATTCTTAACTTTCAGTTCTATAGAGTTGACTGGGAGGTAAGCGGACAGAAAGTCACAATTATGATAGGACCAAAAGTCACAAAAATTTATTTATAATTGTATGAATATAAAAGAGAAAGTTCTTGAAATAATTTCTTTATATTATATATATTCATTTTACCTTGGTAAATGGCTATTGAGACATTTAGGCCATAAAACCCGTTCGGCCATATAGACCACTTTGGCATAGGTAGTTTCGGTCCATTATGCCTTTTTCTTTATGTCCGTTCCTATCAATGTTTTGAATAAAAAAAAAAAGAGGTAAGTAAATATTTCTGAACATATGAATAAACTTAAAAAAAATGTCACTGTCGGCACAGCCAGGTAAAGATTAAAATTTTTTTAATTTTTATTAGTAGATTGAAGTCTCGCTTAAATAGTAGATCGAAATATATACCCCACATCGCCAAATGATGATAAAAAATTGATTTGAAAAATGTAAAAAAATTTGTGTTTTTCTTCAAAATATTATAATAATGTTGTACTGGATTAGATAATAATTATTATATAAGATCATCTATTCCATAGTAGGCCATGCAAAAATGATTGTTGGTTTCCCCTAACCCTGCCGGGTCTGTTTTTACGCTGTGGGTCAATCCCTTTTTTTTTTTTTTTTTTTTTTTTTTGGGGGCAGAGGAAAAAAAATGTGTTGCTCTGGTTTCTTTTGACAATTTTCAATGATGCTTTTATTTAAAATTGTCTGATAATCATTTAATAGTGTGTCAACATTATGCTCAATTATTATTCCTTTAGTTTAAATACATGTACATGGATAACAAATTTACTTCAGGCAAATTTCATCACGTTCTAATGAAGTAACAAGCTTATTTTGCCGAAAGTTAGAATGATTTGATGTACGCCTTGAGAGCAAGTACCGGAAGTGATAAAAAATTGTTTTTATGAAATAACAACCAACTTTAAAATCAATGCTTTAATCATTTTCTGAAGAAAATAAATCGTTTATGTCCTTGAATTTCTTTACTTTTAAATGAAAAATTGCTGTTCATCGACTTGGTAAAAAGGAATATTGCCGATGACAAAAGCGACTGAAAGCGAGTATCGTAAACAACAGGGCGACTAGATTTCGCTTTTGATGGTCGGGCAAAGCGAAGTGACGGCTGGGAAAGCGACTTTGTCGCCCCAGTCGAATGGTAGTGTGAGCCCTGTATAAATAAATTTTAATCATGTAAGGCTTGAAAGGATATATTTCTTAGACACCATGAAGCCATTTAAGTACCATGCTATTTAGCTGCGGAACCATAGCTCTTAGGTCCGTATGATATTTTTTGACAACTTGAATCAATTTTGTTAACAAAGTTGCTTTAACGTATATACATTTGCAATAAAAATACAAAAATGTTTTTAAAAATAAGTGTATTCTTATGACTTATGTAAAAAAAAAATTAAAAAAACTGTTTGTCTTGAGACTTTTTGTCCGTGACTTTCTGTCTGCGACTTTCAGTCCTACATTCGACTGGGAGACCCAAATGTGTATTAATTCATACAATTTTAAAAGACAAGTTAATAACAATACAACATAATAATCTGTAGATGATACACAAATTCATTATGTTTACCCAGGGTTTACCTCAGATTAAGTTGACATTTTTACGCGCTGAATGGGAGGTAACTCTACCTGATAAAGCTAAGTACCACCACACCTAGATTTTAAAAACAATGCTGGCCGATAATTCCGTACGTTTTGTAAGTCCGATCATTTGACGTGTCGGGAGAATCCCCATCTTTTTAAATATTTAGAATTTTCAATTATCCAACATGAACAGATATTATGGCAATGTTTATAACAAAGTTTCCAGGGGAACCAAGTTCTATTAGGCGGAACAAATATACTGTATACATATATACATGTTACAGTGAATTTGTAGAATTAGGGATTATGTATAATCAATGGTAACTTTAGTTATTATATATAATTACTAAAATTTTCAGGAATTATGCATAATCACTAGAAAAAATGTCAGGGATTATACATGATAACTGGAATGAAGAGACTATGAATCCATAGAAAAGTAAAAATAATTTATTCTATAAAATCATATTTTAACATTAAGAAACATAAATAGTAAAATCTTAAGCACAATATTCTTATACAAATCATTTATTTTTTTAAACTACATTGTAAATTTCGATGATACTAAGAGTGTCAGGATGGGGGTCCCTCATTTCTTTATTCTTTATTTTATTAGATCATTTTTCTCTTTAAGTTTTCTTTGTTTATTTTGCCCATTATTCTCTATTCTGATATTTTAGCACCCTTTTACTCTCTCTTTTTGTGTTTTTTTTTATCCATTATTAATTTAGCCCTTTATTTTGCACTGGTTGTCCGAGCGATTATTCTCTATTCTGTAAATTCCACCCAGACCCTCTACTGTTGAACTCGTTGTTTATGGAACAACAAAAAAAACTTTAAAAAATGTCCTTAGCCTTCACATATTGAATCTGATTTTACTGCACTTTGAAGAGAAATAAAGTGTTCATTAGAAACATCTGAAGGTACTAAAAAGGTCAATCAGATACCTCAAACTGATTCCTTGTGTATTATCTGAGCATAATTTCATGTTTCGTAGTCAGTCATTATCATTTTCAGCCCTTTTATGAACGATGGCCATTATATTTTTGCGGTCTCCCTTTCCAAGATCAACATGCGGAATCGGTATTACAGCCTCCTCCAAAATTATGTTCAATATGTCAAGCATGTGTTCTGTTTGTGTTTCTGGACGTGTTGTTGCATTTTTTTGCATAGTTTGAATTCCATGTTTTTTTAAAATTCATCCCCTTTGTTTTACAGCAAATTACATGATCTGTGCATTTATGTTGGTATTATTATTTTCAATTTAAAGGGGCACTAGCTGTCAAATTCATGTTCACCAATTTGACTCAAATATTTATATTTGATTTATAACATACTATATCCAAATTACAAATAGTCTAAAATAAACAATTAAAATTGCATGGACTCGATAATATGTATCAGCATTTTGTGTGAATTTTTGTCTAGACGTCATCTAATTAACCACCGTGATGACCTCCAAAGACTGCCGACGGTCATATAACCCGATATAAACATAAATATGAATATAAATCGATAGCGGTTACGTGCAATTGCATTTTTATATGTCTGTTTTATTTCATACTGTAGGTTAAAAAGTATGTTTATCATCGTCTTTACCTGTATAAGAATGATTTTTTTTTTGTGAATCGAATCAGTCAACCAAATGGTTCATCCTTGTTTCACTTTCGATGTTGACATTCTTTTCCTTTTATATAGCTGAATACATGCGTAAACTGTCTCCAGCTAAATGGTTAAATTATTGAATGCCACATGAATACGGATTCAATGAGGTCGAATTATTCACTTGCAAGTGAATAACTCATCAGCGATGTTTCTTAGCTTATTTTAACAAAATTGAACCAAACTGACTGCTAAAGTGAATTATTATTACACTTTTTCACTTTCATTAATGATTGAACAAAAAAATAACATATTTTATTTTTTTTTATGTCTCGTAGTTAATACCCCTTTAAAATACTTTTTTGTTTATGAGTTAATGTGGTTTAACACAGTTAAATAGAATATCACCAGAAAAAATGTTCACTTTAATAAGATTTGATAAATGGACAGGGAATGGAAACTGTCCACTTAAACCATGAAGAGGTTATAAATATGATTTAATTGTCTGTATTTGAGATAAGATTAAACGTGGGATGTCGCACTCAGCTTTTTTGTTGTTATTTCAATAAGTTCAAATCTTTCTGTTTTAGACTTATCAGGCGCGGATCCAGAGTTTAAAGCGGGTTTTTTTTTGAGAATCGTTTTTGAACATTATAGAAGTTTTCTTGTTATACCAAACCTTATGTTTTTCAATAATTGGCACACGCTTTGTTGTTCCGGCATATTGTTACTAAAATAAACTTTTTAGATTAGTTAAATGATTTAATTACAGATCTTATCCACCCGTTTTGTAATTGCTGTATCAGCCCTTGTACTATTCCACTAGCCGGCTTATCATGTGCGTGAGTAAAGTCTTGTGCTCTTAATAAGGCTGTTTCGTGGTATATTAATTTTTTCGTGAGATTTTCATTCGTCATTTGCTTTAACCCAATTCTGAACTGATTTCTTAACAAACTGTCCGAGGTTGTGGTCAGTAGCGAACAAAACGCCAAATTTGCAGTAAATTCCGTCCTGTGAATTTGAATAGACAATCCATGGGAAATAGTGCAGCCACGCATATTTGAAACATCTTTTAAACCCGTACATTTCTCGTTTCGGAAAAGGAAAAGATCTTGGTGGGTTCCAGTATTCATTTAGTATGCTATACATTTGATCACTAGGTACAGATGTGGAAATAAAGTTTGCAATACCCTTAGATTCAGCAGTTGTCCCACCAGTTGCTAAATTTTCTAAAAAAAAATCTTATGGATATGATAGGGTGAGAAATTATTTTATCTTCAAATCAAGCTAACAGAAAACGTCATTCTATTTACAAAAACAACAAAGTAATAATAAATAGGGATAGCAGCCTTGGATTGTCTTAATTAAATCCTCTGATCCTCTTATTATTTCCCCCAAGGCCAATGTAATTATGACATGTGTACATGTAACGGTCGGGAGTGTAGCGACAACGTGTCACCCTATGTAGTGCTCACTGTATATTCAATTTATAGCAAAGATAACATTAAAACAAGAAATGATTAATATACAAATTATTTTAAGATTTTCAAGTGGGGGGTTTTCCCGACCCCCCCCCCCCATAAAGATAATAATTCTATTGTTTTGTTACATTGCGCCTGCTTTTTTATTTTACGTTTGTTCGATTTTTTATTTGATTATATATAATTGAAACTTTTCCTTTGCAAATAATCGTCTTCCTGCAGTGTTCATGGCGTTATTGTGTGAGAAAAATGTACTAAAACAAACAGACGTCTCTATCACGGTACTAGGCGACAAAGTTAAACTGAATGGCGTAAAACTCTTGAAGTGATATTTTTATCTTTCTTTGAAGACTACTTGGTTCAGTAGTTTGTTAAAATATTGTAAGCAACATCTATCAAGAAAATCCTGATAGGAAACAGAGGTTATATATGGAAAAGTAGTTTAGAAAAAAAAAATATACAAGTGCTGGTGGAATTTTGCTACATATACAACTGGAAAGTTCACTACATGAGAAAATCGAAGTAATAATAAAGATGATTAACAACGATATAATAGTTGAACAAATTTGGCAGTCTTTCAGCGGGAGAATACTTTGCCCCGTCATATGGTAAAATTGAGAATGGAAATGGGGAATGTGTCAAAGAGACAACAACCCGACCATAGAACAGACAACAGCAGAAGGTCACCAACAGGTCTTCAATGCAGCGAGAAATTCCCGCACCCGGAGGCGTCCTTCAGCTGGCCCCTAAACAAATATATATACTAGTTCAGTGATAATGAACGCCATACTAAACTCCAAATTGTACACAAGAAACTAAAATTAAAAATAATACAAGACTAACAAAGGCTAGAGGCTCCTGACTTGGGACAGGCGCAAAAATGCGGCGGGGTTAAACATGTTTATGAGATCTCAACCCTCCCCCTATACCTCTAGCCAATGTAGAAAAGTAAACGCATAACAATACGCACATTAAAATTCAGTTCAAGAGAAGTCCGAGTCTGATGTCAGAAGATGTAACCAAAGAAAATAAACAAAATGACAATAATACATAAATAACAACAGACTACTAGCAGTTAACTGACATGCCAGCTCCAGACTTCAATTAAACTGATTGAAAGATTATGTCTTCATCATATGAATATCAGGCACAATCCTTCCCGTTAGGGGTTTAGTATCATACCATCATAACATATATGAGAAGAACATAACCCGTGTCATGCCAACAACTGGTTTTTAAATAAATGTGTTTAGTGCCGATGCAAAGACCCTATAAGTGAATCAATATTAACGCCAAAATATGCAATCTTTAATGACCTGACAACAGTATCGTAACTATATCCCTTCTTGATAAGTCTATTTAAAGGTTTTGTTAGTTTCAGAGGTGAATACTGACATTTTTGTGCTTTATAAAGAATATTTCCATAAAAAATTGGATGTGAAATACCTGAACGTATAAGAAGTCTGCATGTTGAGCTATATTTACGAATGATGTCCTTATACCGATGATAAAATTTAGTAAATGTTTTGACTAGTTTGTGATATCGAAAACCCTGGTGTAATAATTTTTCAGTAATACATAAATTTCTCTCGTTAAAATCTAAAACATTGTTACATACACGAGCGAATCGTACAAGTTGAGATATATAAACACCGTAAGATGGTGACAAGGGAACGTCACCATCTAAAAATGGATAATTAACGATAGGAAATGAAAAATCATCTCTTTTATCATATATTTTAGTATTAAGCTTTCCGTTAATGATATAGATATCAAGATCGAGGAAAGGGCAGTGGTCATTTTTAGTATTAGCTTTATTTAAAGTAAGTTCAACAGGATAAATTTCTTTAGTATACATACTGAAGTCGTCATTATTGAGAGCCAAAATATCATCCAAATATCTAAAAGTATTATTAAATTTGTGTATCAGATGTTGTTTCGATGGGTCTTT